TCCACCTGGATCCGCCCCTGCACGTGACGTTCCAACATCCTTGTAGCTCGTTTTCAATATGTAATAGAATGGGAAGAATCTGCTGAGAATGAGAAAATAATTGTATACCAAATCAAACTATAAACCATAAATTTAAAACCATATATATATGATTTGGTTCGGTCTGGTTCAATTTGATTTGATTTGTTTCGATCTAAATTGTAACGTTTACCAACCCTAATATATAGCGTTAAAGTACAAGTACAACAGGACGGTCCCTTCTAGCTATGCACCTTTAATTATACTACAATAATAATGCATCCTATTATCCTATCAATAGTGTCAAACCCTCTTTCAACCAGTAACATTTACCTTTATCTCCAATCGATAGTTTCAACGATACGATTTTAAATTTTAGCCTAATTCTCTGTACTTGATAGTCCTACAAAAGCTAACACTTCCTAAATCTCTTTGTTGACAATGGAGCGGGTAGGTTAGATGATGATGAAGTCTATTGATCCTATTCACTCTCTATTATTAAGTTCATTAAGCACTAATTTGGACGGATTTATTTTTAGATGACATTTTTGTAATATTTTTGGCGGTATTTTTCTAAAAGCCATTTTTCATGGATTTTGAAGGCTACAGACCACGTATTCGGCCTGAGGCTATTCTTTAGTGATGATTAAGTTCACTCATCACTAATTTAGGCGGATTTTTCCAGGTCAATTTTGGCATATTTCAAAAGAGTACCATTACATTTTCGAGAAATTTTTCCGACAGGCCATTTACTTTCGATTATGAAGGCTACAGACCATCGATTCAGTCTGAGGCTATTCTCCACCGATGATTAAGTACATTAAGTACTGATTTGGTCAGATTTATTTTTGGATGACATTTTTTTAATCTTTTGCTACAGATCACGGATTCAGCTTGATGCAATTCTTCAGTGATGATTAAGTCCTTTAATCACTAACTTCGGCGGAACTCTTCTATGTTCATTTTTGTCATATTTCAAAGGGGTACCATCACATATTTTGGGCGATTTTTTTAAAATGTCATTTTCTTTTGATTTTGAAGGCTAGAGATCATGGATTCGGTCTGGGGCTATTCTCCACCGATGATGAAGTCTATTGATCATATTCTCCACCGATGATTAAGTATAATCAAGCACTGATTTGGACGTATATATTTTTGGATGACATTTTTGTAAATTTTTGGGTAATTTTATTAGAAAGACCATTTTACATGGATTTTGAAGGCTACATATCATGGATTCGGCCTGAGACTATTCTTCACCGATGAATAATTCCATTAAAAACTTATTCGGGCGGATTTCTTCCTCGTCCATTTTTGGTAGATTCCAAAGGGATACCATCATAGATTTCGGGCGATTTTCCGAAATGCAATTTTATTTCGATTTTGAAGGCTACAGATTATGGATTCGGCATGAGACTATTCTTTACCGATGATTAAGTAAATTAAGCACCGCTTTGGGATGATTTCTTCCGGGTCCGTTTTGGGCAGATTCCAAAAGGATACCATCATAGATTTCACCGATGAATAATTTCATTAAGCACCGATTTGGGGGGATTTCTTCCTCGTCGATTTTAGGCAGATTCCAATGGGATACCATCACAAATTTCGGGGGAATTTTCCAAAATGCAATTTTTTTTGGAGTTCGAAGGTACAAATCACGGGTTCAGCCTGAGACTATTCTTCACCATTGATTAAGTTCATTAAGCACAGATTTGTGACAATTTCTTCTGGGCCTGTTTTTGGCAGATTCCAAACGGGTACCATAACAGATTTCGATCAATTTTCCCGAAATATCATTTCCTTTCAATTTTGAAGGATACAGATCACGGATTCGGGCATAGGTTATTCTCCACCGATGATGAAGTCCATTGATCCTATTCTCCACTAATAATTAAGTACATTAAGCACGGATTTGGGCGGATTTATTTTCGGATGACATTTTTGTAATTCCTTCGATTTTGAAGGCTTCAGTTCATGAATTAGGTCTGAGGATATTCTACACCGATGAATAATTCCATTAAACACCGATTTGGGCGGATTTCTTCCTCGTCCATTTTTGGCAGATTCCAAAACGATATCATCACAGATTTCGGGCGATTTTTCCGAGATACAATTTTTTTTGGATTTTGAAGGCTCTAGATCACGGATTCGGCGTGACTGCGTGAGACTATTCTTTACCAATGATTAAGTAAATTATGCATCGATTTTGGATTATTTCTTCCAGGCCGGTTTTTGGAAGATTCCAAAGGGTCACATCACAGATTTCGAGCAATTTTTCCGAAATATCTTTTTCTTTCCATCCCCCATCTATGAAACGATTGATCAGCCTTCGCATCTAGTGAACTAAAGTAGTGAATGGTTATTCGGCGGGATATATTACGTGTGAAATCTTGATAGTTTGGCCAATTCATATAGTTATAGAATAATTTCACAATATAAAACACGAGACTGCATATATAAATTTTGTACGGCACCCCCTTAAATAAAATCCTGGCTACGCCACTGGGGGTAACTACTGAAGTTTTTCATGCGTGAGTTAGTAGTTAGTACTATAGTATTTCTAGTGACCAGTGACTCCGTTTCGGAAGGACAAAATGCTTTTATTCGAGAACGACAAATAGTAAAAAATGTCCTTTTAGGGCACGAGTTAATGCATTATTTGAAAATCAAAATTCGAGGTAAGAAAAGGTATATGGCTCTAAAAAAGTTGACATGAAAAACACCTATGATAGAGTCGAGTGGCCATTTCTCCTCATTGTTTTGGAAATTTTGAGTTTTAACCCTACTTAGAGACGCTCGATCCAGGAATGTCTCAGCTCGTCGTCGTTCTCGGTCCTTATGAATGGTACTCTGGCTGAGTTTTTAAACACTCGAGAGGACTCCGTCAGGGTGACTCTCTATCCCCTCTTGTTTGTGATTTGTATTAGAGACAATTAGAAAATAGAAAAATTAAAGTATTTTTGTTTTCTTTTTATTCCTTCTCTTCACGTCTCCCACCTTTGTTCAGTTTCTATCTTTGTGGAACGTGGGAGCTGTTCCTGTTGTATACTCCTGTATAATAATTTAGAATCCCATTGAATGAAATCAAGTTAGATTTTCTACTCAAATTATCTTTCAATTATCTTCCCATCGATTCATCATGTCCGACTCTTCTATTTCCACTACAAGTGCTGCCGCATCCAATGAAGATTCTATCATCACATTCAACCTCGCAGCTCAGCTAACTCCAACAAATTTCAACTCATGGCGCTCACAGCTTGAGAACTTGTTCCAAGGATTGGATCTCATCGGATTCATCTCATCTCTAGTCGTTCCGCCTCCAGTGAAAGCTTTGTCGTTGGACAAAGGAGGGGCGGTGCTGGTATTGCTAACCCATTTTTAGGGTTTTCCCAATCTTTTATTGGGCCAGCAGAAAGCATAGTCGAAATAGGCCTTTATGGGCTCCTACGTATGATTTGGTAAGGGTTTTTATGGACTCTTCAATTACATTTTGAGTCATCTATTTCATTTTGTAGGCTTTCTCCATCAAATATAGTCAAGTCTACATTGAGGCATTCACGTACCATACATTGGTCGTCCCCCTGACATTCTAAAAGGTAGTACGATCAGAGAAGTCATCGTCCCTTTCTCGTCCAGCTGGCATTCACAATCCAAGAAATGGTATCCCCTCTTTCAAGTCATTATTGGGCACCTATCACCTATTTATCACTTTTCAAACCCGGCATTCACAAAGTTCATGCTTCGGCTTGAGGGGGAGAATAGGAGGTCAACATACGTCGGTCGACTAGCTCAATCATCAACTCGACCGCGATGTACCAAGTGTGTTCAAGTTCAAGAGACGCAGTCAACCGTCTCCATCATCAGGTTGTTCAGAGGGAGAGTTAGTCGTCTTCAATCAACCTCGTCCGAGATGTTATTCATCTCGAGTTTTGTTGTTCAAACCATTAAGCTTGTTCTTCACATTTCCTTCTTCAAGCTCGACATTCTTGTCATTTATGTCTTCGCTTGAGGGGGAGTGTTGCGATTACTTAAACCGTGTTAGTATTGGATCTTGTTGGGCATTGTCCGAGTTGTAGTAGGGACTAAGGACCAATTGGTTTATGACATGGTATCAGAGCTGGTTTGGCCAAGTGGTCGTGTGTTTAAATCTCCATGACTTCCAATATTAACTAACTCGTGCAATCAACGACAAATTCCTTCGCCTTAGTAAGCTAGCTTTGTAAGCTAAGCAAGCCTGGTTCTCCGGGCTTTCTCCCTTCTCGACCAGACGAATGAGATATGAATTCCATTCAGGTGGGTAAGGGCTTGGCTTGACCGTGTCCTTGTTCTTTGGCTAGACTCGCAGGTGAGAGTGCCGAGTGTAAGCTTGTTAGCTGTTGAAGTAATTAAAGTTATACGCTCTAGTAACAAGCCTGGCGGTTACCTTTTTTTCATATCTATATCCTCTTCTGAAAAATGAAGACTAAGACAGAAGTTTCATGGAAAATAGAAAAGTCCTTTATCGGATTGGAACCGATGACTTACGCCTCTTTCTTATTCTTAGTGCGTTTAAAGAGCGTGACTCTACCGCTTTAGTTAAAAGGGCCCATTCTCCGTGCTCTTCTTCTCATCATATTAAAGCCAAGCACCCATAAAGCCCTTCCCAAGTAATTAATTCCATTCCACCAGTTCGGGGGCAAGGAAGAAGCTTATTTTACTCGTCTCGTTTGCTCCCGTCGAGACTCTTCTCTGAAGACTTGCTCAAGAAAGTACTCGTCAAAACGGTAACCCGACCCTTTGAACTAGCATTTGAGCAGGAGATTGCCGGGTTATTTGCCTTCCAAAATTGAGTATTTGCGGGATGTAACTCATTCATTAGGAGGATGCTCTTACCTGCCCCGATCATTTCATATCTTTTTTTTGCAGGAATCAGGTGATAAAGAAAGAGAAATATAAAATATAGGCCGCCCTAACTTAAACTATTCTTCTTCGGCTCTTTCGCAGGTCTCAGGTAAAAATTGATTTAAGCACAAGGTATGGTGGGTCTGTGCAAACTTCAAGCTCATGAGTTGGATTTCGTTTGAGGGGGCGTGTAAGAGAGTGATACAAGATCCATCATAACCTTCTACCAACAACTCGAGTTATTGGGACCAACTAGTTAATGACCCTTACAATTTTATGTTCAATAACTAGTGATCGTCACTTGAAAATATAATAACATATAATAATTTGGAACAATATTTCTATATGGATGTAAAACTCAGAGCAACCATTCATCCTATATATATGTGATAACATGTTTTACATGACAAGTGACCTTAATTACTAACTTCAGCTACATTATGGTCACTCTTTTGTGTTCTACTATTTTGTGCATACTTTTTGTAAAACTACTACTAGCTAGCTCTATCTCAAGTGATCACAACTAGAGGCCTCCACACAGTCTCCACAGTCAATCTTGTGAGTTGGGATCTGACGATGATCAGCAGTTATCATAAGACTCTGAATGAAGGCAATCATCTGCAAAAACATGGAAGGATTTCCACGAAATCATGGCGCGAATCGACGAGAATCGATACACAGTTACTTAGGCCCAGAAATTGGATTGATGCTAGCCATATATAGTATGTAACATGTTTACCGTCATGAAGCCAATGCAGAGAATGCTGAATCCAGGGAAGTCAAATGGTGGTTTCTCAGACAGGAACATGGCCGTCAGAGGGGTGAAGAGCAATGGAGCTATGATGCTGCCAATGGAGCCAATCCCTGAAAGGCAACCTTGAGCCTTCCCTTGCTCACTCGATCCAACTTGCTTCGACGCGATGCTACGAAGCTATGCACCAAAAGAAACTCTGAGAAGTAAGATTTGAATGCACCATCTGGCTGCAGAGGAAGATGGAGAAAGGGGAAAAGGTACAGTAATTAAGACTTACACAAGGAGTTACAAGAACCACAACTGCAGTGAATACAGCTGTTGCATATGGAACCTGCATTGCATTATTACACAAAAAATTGATCATTAATGATTAAAAGAAATTTTAACAGATATCAGAGACGAGAAAGGGAGCAAAAAGCTCACCCAATCGACCCACGCGACACTGAGGACAACCGTCTGCATGCAGGCAGATAATCAGAGCATTTCAGAATTCAGGGGAGAAAATCAATTAGTTCATAAACGAGAGGAAAATCAGCATATTTAGATAGGTAGTTTCATTACATTTGCACAGCCTACTAGCAGGCCAAGTGAAAGCAGCTTCTGTTCTGCTACGAAAGGCGCCAGCAGTGGCATCAGGATCAGCTGTTTTGTTACAATGTGTGTGAAGCATTAGATCAACAACACAAATGGAGGCATTATAATTAACTGGATCAGGAACATCAAATCGATCGTAACGCGCGCGTAGAATCGATATATATATGTGTGTACTTAACTTGAGACACCATTCCTGCAAGTCCCATGATCAGCATCAGATCAGCATACTGGTTCTTGCTGAACTGAAACCGCGCCTTCAAGTAGTACTGCAGGGGGACAGGAAACCCATCATTGTTATTGAAGATTGTTCATCGATGTGTTATGATTCATGGCTAGATGTGACAATTACCATGATGGCAGCTTGGAGTCCACCTTCAGCAAGACTGTTGAAGAATGTGACTATGGCTGCCTGAGAAAATGTCACACTGCAGCAAAAAGTTCAATTAACCCATGAAAGTAACTATAAGAACCAAATTAGAAAAGAAAAAAAAGGGTGCTCAACCTGGTCCTCAGCAAGGAAATAAGGTCACCAACTGATGGAAATGCCTTGAAGGCCACCTTGTTAGTAAGAACACAACTTTGTTCACCATCATCATCATGTGACACTATTTGTTTCAGTATTGGCTTTGTCAATGTGTGTTCTGTTTCAGACAATTTGTCCTTGAGAAAGACTCTCATGTACACAGCTGCAGCCATGGACAGAGCTGCTGCGACCTGGAACGCCATAGCGGTGGAGAGGAATCGAGCAGCTAATGTCCCGAAGACGAAAGCAGATGAGCCAACACCAGCTAGAATCCCAAATGCTGATGTCCTTTTGGATTCTGAGATGTTGTCTGCCTGAAAAAAAACCCATATCAATGGTGATTGATTTTGAGAGTTAAAAAAAAAATTGATGAATGATCAGTGTTGATTTTATGGGAGGAAATGGGCTACCACATAGGCAAGAGCAAGGCAGTTGGTGCTGCCTTCAGAGAGCATGGCAGTGAGAGTTCTGAGAATGTAGTAGGCATAGAAGAACTCTGTTGATCTGCTGTATGCTAGTGTTACTGCAAAGTAGCAAAATAATTAAAGATTCAACCAAAAAGGAAAATAGGAAAGAGAAAAAAGAACAAGTTCTTTTTGGGCTTTCACGTCTACTTTCATTTATGATAATGGACCCTATGTATATTATGGGCTTCCACTGAGTCCAGCTTTACCCTTTCATTATGGGCTTTGAATTGTAGGTTTTGTTCATCGTATGAATACCTATTGGGCCAAATCAAGGCCCGACCGACATACCATGCAACTAAAGTAAGGGCATGCATGCAACGATAATACGATAATTGTCCGGTCGGATCGAACCAAGATAAGAGTTCATCTAACCCAGTGGCGAACTCAAGAATTTTACATGGAGTATCCTCTTTCAAAAAATAAACTAAAATAAACTAAAATAATTTTTAAATAAGGATATACCAATTCGTACAAGTTAAAAAAAGTTCATGATGTATTTTTCATATTTTGAAAAAAATTATAAAATACAATTGTTATCTATGCTGCTGAACAAATTTGTCTCGGTATATCCTACTAGACAATCATTAACGAACTGACGCATATTCGAAGTCCAAATTTCTTCTTGATGTAACTCAAAAATGAAAAGACACTTTCAGCACTTGTCGTACAACCATAAAACCAATACAAAAATAAGGGTAGGTTGTCATGAGATTAACTGTTAGGTTTTGAAAATAATTAAAGATAGAGAATAGGGTTTTGCTATTACACAGTGTTTATAATAGAACAACAAAAAATGTTGTAGCCTAATGAAAATTATATTTATTAAAAATAGTAGTGTCCTGGGTTTGGATTACCCAAACTACCACTTGTATTTCAATACGCAAACTACAAACGAGAGTAGGATAATCATTTTTTTTTTCTTTCAAATTTGAAAATCATAATGTAATCGTGGTCCATTCATTTTCTATGGCTAAAATCACTTACCGATCATTTTTTTTTTTTTACACATTTCTTTCGGTCGAATCGCTGATATAGCTAGTAACAATGTCTCCCCTACTCTTTTCCTTTTGACCCCATTTTTAACTTTTGGTAGGTCAAACTTAGGATCTCTTTGGTTTAACCGACGGAAGGAAAAAGAGGACAAGAAGTGTAGTAGAAGAAAGAACAATTAATACAAAAGTCGACATTGCCAAGCAGGTTAATAAAAAAAATGAACCGTCGAACAAAAGACAAATCAGAGTTTAGGGTGGGAAGTTGTACCAAGAGGAATGATGGAGAGGGTGAGTGGGAAAGTGAGCAAAGCTTTGCGCCCATATCTGTCCGACAAATTCCCAATCAACGGCATCATCACCACCGTCCCCAATCCTATCACCTGCAACAAAAGCACAATCAAATGTCTAATAATTCATCACCATAACCCTTAAAATTCTAGTTGCACTTGTATATTGCTTTGTTGATTAACTTGATCGTTATTATAAACTAAATCATTAATGAAGTTTAGACGCGGGGTGCATTTATCGATGTTTTAGAAATGTAAGGAAGTGGTTAAGCACCATACACGGGCCTGTATAAGATCCAGCATAACCTTCTCCCAACAACTCGAGTTATTGGGAGCAACTGGTTCTTGACAAGAAATCTTATTAATTGGTAGGGCCGGACGGAAAATACCAGATGTGCGGGACTCAAATCTGTAGACAGTTTTAGCAATAGGAAAACTTTATGTTGAACCCCGATTAAACTACAATTTTAGCACTAAATACAACATTACTGACTTTCCAATCCTCTTGATGTTTATAGATTTCATTAGGTAGTCATTAAATTCGTGCGAGCAGTTGTTTTGAGGTAAATATTGTAGATCATCAATGATCCTTATGAACACGCATATTATCAACACTACTGTTAGTCCAACAAATCGAATTCACTCTCAACCTAGCAGTGTGGGGGAGACATGTTTTAAGGAGGGGACGATACAACCCTCTTCAACTTTCCAATATATGTAAAATTGCGTATAAATAGCTCGTATGACTTTAAAGCTCCCTCGCCAATTAACACGATTTCAAATCTCTCTCGAGTTTAAATTTCTTACTCCGCGCCACTGCAAGCCGATACGCTTAGGGCTATGTCAGGCAAGTTTGGATTAAACTGACATCCACCTTATATGTGAAATGATCTAAACCATACCCTATTGCTTTCTCCCAAAAAAAAAAAACTCTACCTATTTTGCTTTGTAATTACCTTTAATAACATCGCTTTCATGGGAGGGTCTATGGTGGTCAGCAGCATCATTAGATGGTAACTCCTATATATGCCCCCCCATGGAACCAAATCGGTTGCCTTGTTGTTTCAGCCGGGAAGTTTAATTAATAATTAAGCAATGATCAGAAATGATAGCGTGGAATAAAACCTACAAAACCTCGTGTCTTACTATCCGTAATACGATCATTTATCAAATCATAGGTGGTACGATTTATATTAAGAGCGGTGAAAACTCGAATTTTAGAGGTTTTATAATCATGTATGTCTTGTACCGTTACGTATTAATTAAATTGATCTTCAATTAAACTTATTAACAAACTAAATAGCAATTAATTAGCTGATGTGTCTCCGGTGACCCAAGTTCTAGGTACATGCCCCAAAGCAATCAACATATTATTAATTACAGTAATTCAATGTCATACTAATCGCCGTTGTCAAAAACCTTTTAGCGACGGAAAAAAGCAACTCTTTTTAGCAACGACCCGAGACGCTAATTTAACACACATATATATATACGTACCGCTTGTTGGAAACCGGAGAGGTAGATGGCGAGGGAGCACTCGTCGACGCCGGGGCAGAGCGCCTCCATGGTGACGTCGGTGATCGCCGGAATCACCACGATCCCCGACACCGCCGACAGGAAAACCGTCATGAAAAGGTGGCCGAGCTCCCCCATCTCCTCCATTGAATTAGCTAGCTAGGAAAGTTAAGCTGGGAGAGGAAAGCTTGGAAGTGGGAGAGGAAGTGTAGGAGCTAGCTAGCTTGCTTCAGTTGTTATTTTGTATATAGAAAAAGCAAAAGAGAGATAGGAAAAAAGTGAGGGGTAGGGTTTAGCTTTGGGAGCTTTGTTTATCACTTTGGAAGGGAGACAAAAGAAAGAGGGAATGGAGAGAGAGAGAGAGAGTGGTGTGGTAGTGGAAGAACTAGTTGGTTACAGGTCTCTTCTTTCTTTCTTTTGCCTTCATGACCTCTTTATTTGGTCGCTAATGATGAAAGGGACATGATGATCACTAGGAAATATCTACAAATTGAGTGTTTGCACATTGGTGGGCTTGCAAGAGATGATCCCATTTCCCATCTAATGCAGCAGATCACTTTGTTTGTATCTCTCTTTTATGCTTAAATTAAGATATGAATGGAGCATGTTGATTAAGTATTTCGAGTGAGCTGCATTTTATATTGATCAGTTGATATATATTCATTTCGACAACTATGGAAGGATTACAAGCTAGTTCCGGAAAAAAAATCGAATACTAAAAAGAATACGATCTTATCTACTTACGTAATGATTGGTACGGTTCATTATTATTCTGTTGGGGTTGTCGTTAAACAAATATTTTGTTTAGTGATGAATATTAATTCAAATGTGCAGAATATTAACCAATAAGGGAGAAAATTGGTAAAAATGATGAAAGGTCGCAAAGGTAGCATCTTGAAACTTCTCAAACTTTTCACTGTATGCAAGCTAAGCAGCATTTCAGATTAAATTTAAAAAAAAATTTACTTTTGATGTCATGGACATGTTAATTTGGATAAAAAGTAAAAGATCGAGGCCGGTGGTGATGGAGATTTGGATAAAAATCGAAAGATGTGGGATTGAGAAGAGCCAATCATAATTAATTGCTTCAAAGCTTTTGTATGAATTGCAGGATTTGACCCTATTGCTTAATCGGTTGAGTGGAAGGTGATGATGGAAAAAAGGGAAGTGGTGTATTGATGTTCTGACCTAACATGTCACTTAAGTTTGAAACGCGAATCATACGTTAAAATTACCGATGTCCCGCTCCACATCACTGCAGGTAGGGTATTACTCGGCCCAACACAAATGAGATCGGATAATATCCAATAAGACGAGTTCAAATTACCAATTTAAAGTCAAAACCTTTGGATGCGACACCAGCAGGCAGCAGTAGTCACTTGCAAGTTGCATGCGTAGTGCGATTGACAAACAAACTAGGGCCCTTGGGCCTTTTCTGGTCCGATCAAACACGATTGGACTTGGACCAATATTCCACCAAGCTCTTATGGGCCCAATCCATATTACTTTGCTTTTGTCCACCAAGCCCAACCAACCGAGCTGTAGTTCCTGTCAAGCATGGGCTACAATGGAGCCCGAATCTGATATTGCATGCATGCATCGGTACCACTAGATAATGTCTTGGGCCCTGGCGAAGATTTACGCAACAAACTTAGGGAAAGGTGCCCAACCCAGTCCAATTGCAAAGCCGAAGGGGAAGGATGGACCCCTACAAAAGCCCAATATGGTTCTGTGACCCAAGCCCAACAAATGGCGACAACAATAGTCTCACTCGGTCAACCAACTCAGCCCGACTCACCTACCTAAGATACGTGCGTGGCGGATTATTATTATTATTATTGGCTTATTGCCAGTTGGCAGAAGCAGACAAATGTGATGTAAATTGTATGCTAAAAATTTGTGCGGCCTAGAGTTTTTTAACGGGAATGTTGGCCTAATTCATGTATCTAACCTCGAGTTCACGAAGTGGTTAAATATCTAGTTTTCGTTTAATATTTGTAATGTCTAGCGAGAAACTATATATTTTGATTGAGTTTCAGTGATAATATGAATATTTGATACATCATCTTGATATTTAATGTGTATAGCAGATGGTGCACACGATTCGGTGAAAATTCTGTCGATCTTAATTCATTGGTAATACAAATTAAAAGTTTCCATTGCACTTGTTCAACACAGAAGATCAAGTGTTGCAAAGTAATTATTTGAAAATCTTGAGATACAACCAGAACCCGAAAACAAAAATATGTCGTGCCTCCATGTAAATGAGTGAGATTACAAATCGCCGAACTAATTTCAATAAGTCAATTGCTAAATTCGCGCGTGATGACTATTATATAGTGATCGATCCGATCCGTCCTCCGAAAGAAACTGAATTTTACTATACATTGCTTTATGCATTTTCTCTTTATTTTGGATTCCCCTCGATTCTTAACCGGACAAATCTCAAGTGATTTTTTCCTAGATTTTTTTTTTTTTGAAAACCCCCCTGAAAACTGGCAAAAGAAAAACCCAAAAGTTAAATCTGCCGTTTAGAACCATTAATATAAAGCAAACTCTCCTGTCCACACTTCCACACTCTCTGCACTCTCAAAAACCTCTTTTCTCCCCTTCCAATTCCATCAATGGAAACCTTCGGCATCCTCGCCACCCTCTCCGTCTGCCTCCTCGGCGGCATCTACTGGTTCGTCTGCCTCCTGGGCTCCGCCGAGCAGAAGGGCAAGCACGCCGCCCAGCTCTCCGGCGGCTCGATCTCCGCCGAGAAAGTCCAGGACAAGTACCAGCAGTACTGGTCCTTCTTCCGCACTCCTTCACAGATCGCGACCGCCGAGAAGGTCCCCGCATTCGTCGACACGTTCTACAACCTCGTCACCGACATCTACGAATGGGGTTGGGGCCAATCTTTCCACTTCTCGCCTTCCCTGCCGGGGAAATCCCACCGCGATACCACCCGCATCCACGAGGAATTCGCCGTCGATCAGCTCAAAATCAAGCCCGGGAGCCGGATCCTCGACGCCGGGTGCGGAGTCGGCGGCCCGATGCGCGCGATTGCGGCGCATTCCGGCGCGAAAGTGGTCGGGATCACGATCAATGAGTATCAGGTGAAAAGGGCTCGCGACCACAACAGAAAAGCCGGGCTCGATTCGCTTTGCGAGGTCGTCTGCGGCAATTTCCTGAAGATGCCGTTCGAGGATGCGAGCTTCGATGGGGCGTACTCGATCGAGGCGACCTGCCACGCCCCCAAGCTCGAGGAGGTATACTCCGAGATTTTTAGGGTTTTGAAGCCTGGATCGATGTATGTTTCGTACGAGTGGGTGACCACTGATCTGTACAAATCGGAGGATCCTGTCCATGTGGAGATAATTGAAGGGATTGAGAGAGGGGATGCGCTGCCAGGGCTTAGGAGGTACAACGACATTGCAGAGACGGCGATGAAAGTTGGGTTTGAGGTGGTGCAGGAGAAGGATTTGGCGAGGCCGCCGGCGGGGCCGTGGTGGTCGAGGTTGAAGATGGGGAGAATTGCTTACTGGAGGAACCACATTTTGGTGACTGCACTTTCTTGGATAGGGATTGCCCCCAAAGGTGTGGTGGATGTTCATGAGATGCTGTTCCACACTGCAGATTACTTGACTAGAGGTGGAGAAACTGGCATCTTCACTCCTATGCATATGATTGTCTGCAAAAAGCCAGAGGCTTAATCGCAAAAAAAAAAACTAAAAGGGCGGTGGTCTAATTCTTCCCTCTGGTTTGGCTTGGCTTGGCTTAATCATGGATGGAGGTTGCTGCTGCTGCAATTGAAAATTAGCTGTGCTTTGGGGGTCCTGGTGATAATTTGATAACTTTTGTTTCTTCCTTTTGTCCCTTTTCAAGATATTAGTTCTAGCTTTGGGAGCCTTATTGAGTTTTAGCTGTGGTCCTTTTGTCTCTATTGTTGTTTGCTGTTGGTGTTAGTTGGCAGATAGCAACTTCTCTGTCTTTGGTTAGTTTCACTAGCTTCCTTCTTTGTTACCTCTTTTAGCATAATGCAGTGGGAGGACTACCAGTTGTGTTTTGGTTATGGACAAGCAGGATTGAAATGGGGTTTGGTATTTATCTTACTCTAATTTGTTGAACATGAAGGAAGAACAGTTTCTGTGAGAAATTTCCTACTCTTACTTAACCATTTGCTCAAGTTCCTCGAAGCTCAACAAGTCTCTGCATTTATCTTCTTCATTACCTTGTTCCTCTTTGCAGACTCTGATATGATGGTTCAACTGCATTTATGAAGGCAGCATATATTCTATACATTTCCCTGAATCTGTTTATCTAGTTGCCTTTGATTTAACGGGTGGAATGTCTGCGTATGGCCACCTGCTAGTTTGGTGGGTTTCGGCTGAAATTGATGCTGGAATATAGCTGATGTGTTCAGTTATTGTCTTAAATCCATGGCATGTGATCCCAATAGCTGTATGGGGGACTCGTTTGTCAGAATCATCTGTTTTCCAACTTGGCTGGCTGCTGGTCAGGCCTAAAATCAGAGGACACAAAGGAAGACTTAGAAAGCCTCGAGCTTTGTGTGTAAACAAAACACAATTCGTTCTGTGGTCAGTCATTTATTGATTTCATTGCGCCGTATCGCAAGGTATTAATGACCGCTTTTGATGGTGGATATATTCTGATATCAATGAGAGCAAGAGGTACGATTTGGACATAACAACCTTGGGATCATTTATGATTCAGTATGACTGTGATAGACTTTAATGTGCATGCATACTGTTGTTGCATTTGATGCCCCAAGATTCAGTAGTTGAGTTGGATCTGGACGTCGACAGAGGCAGACAGTGACTTTCTTTCATCGAGTGTTTATGAACTGTGTTTATGACAGATTTAACTAGTTTGTGTCATCTGATGCTCATTATAGAACCCTTTACTTGTATTTGTATATAGTTTAGCTGTCAGCTCATGGAAGTAAACCTTTACACTGAACTTGATCTTGTGAAGAAAAGGAAACAAGATTATACAAAGATCTTTTGTTATCACGTGACATCTTGTTGTGTTGCAGAATATTGTATTCTTTGTGGATCTCAAAGTTTACAAAATTACAGTGGATCCATTCAATTCCAGGGATTACAATAATGTTGGGTTCTTTTGTCTTTACTTCTGTTCTATATTCCCTCAGTTATATCAGACTTGATTTTTGTATACTTTCTTAGACCTTGTCGCAAGGGATTCCTATACGACACCGTGCTAGGTCCATTTGTATGCTTATGCATTCTTTTGCGCAGAAGTGGTCACATGGCACAGTTATTATGTATGTAGGCTCTTGTTCCTTGTGAAGTGGCCCTTTATATCTACACTTTAGTAAAAGTTCAGTTATCTTTTGCATCATCAGCCAACCTTTGCTGTTTCTTTTCATTTGAGTCCACTTCATGACTACTGCAACTTTACCACCATTTCTGCTTGGTTGCATCTGGTATATGCACTTGCAGATGCAAAAAGAACCCTGCTTTTCTTTTTAAGCAAACGGAAGTCGCATTGAGGAGGAAAGTAAAGTTAAAGTTGTGAACTTTTGTAGGAGATATTCTATTGGGAACTTTTGGAGATCCAGAAGAACGTGAGGTTATTAGTTGTGATCTGAAATGGTTGTACCATATCAGATGTGGGTTTGTGACTTGTGAAGGAGCCTCTTGTCTATTTTAATTAGAAATATGATTTCCTTATTATCTTCTTTGTCTTCATCCCCAACAGGCAGAAATGTGTTCCATCTCCTATGGTGCAGGAACTGTGAGCTATGATGAAGTGAAGGACTCTGGAGCAAACTTGGGGAGCAAAAACATTGTAAGAGGCAACATTAACTTTCTTGTAATTTGCGTACGTAAGTGATTGCATAACATGTTTAGTTTTTGCCTCCTTGCAAGGTCTTTTTTGTTAGTTGACAAAGATATTTTCATTCCCCAATTTATTAAAACAATGGTAAAGGTTGGGGCTCATTAGGGAAACTACTGTTTTCCCCTTGGCAATATAAGTGTACTTGTTTTTGGATCTCACAATACAACCCTCTTTGTCTTTGTCCCCTCTTTTCTCATTTAGGAAAATAATCGAAGAGGGTTCCATGGTAATCATATCAGTCAGGCTCCTCTTTGGGTTTTAACCTTCTTTGTCTTACTTGTGTATTACCAGGGTGTACTGATAAGGATCTAAAGTGTATGAATGGATACTACCCTTACCCTTTCCTGGGTAGGGATGACTTCTTTGTTCAAAGGCCATGACATGCACAATTCAACAACAATGATCAATTTACCTTGTAACGAATAGTTGTTGGAAGTGATTAACAGCTTCCCACAAAGTGAACGAACATTATCATGGCTCGGGATCGAACATCCAGCCACGTGAATGAGAGACGAGTCAACCAACTGGGCTCGACACCCTCGTGGTTGAGCTTCTTTGCAGTTGTATGTATTCACTCTCTTTCGTTATCTTCCTTTTTTATGCAATTTGATCCTCCTGTCTTTCTGTTAGGATGGACCCAAATGGGCCTTCTTGCTCTCATGATTGAGTGAGCCATAGATCCTTATCCTGTACCAATCTGATAACATAATTTTTGTGTTGAAATTCCCCTGAAAGCTAATGTAATAATAATGTCTGACTTTAGGAGTTTCAGAAATGGCTTGGAATGCCAATGATTTAGAGGCCTAACTGACAACCTGTCTCTCCCTTCTCTTCTTTTCTTTAAGCTCTGAGCTTGAGTCCCTTCAGCACAGCTTATGAATAAGGTCTCTCAGAAGCAAGAGGAATAATGTCTGCCAATGATGAGAGAAACCAACCCAATAATGGGAGTTGTGGAAGTTAAAGAGTTATGATTAGCAGATAGGAAAACTGGAATGATTAGAATGACAGGCTAGATAACAGCTCAGAGCCATTTACATATTAGAACCCCCAAAAAAATCCACCTACCAAAGTTGAGAACTCATCTCAACCACCATATGAATTATGATTCCCCATGAAAGTTTCATCCTTGACCATGATTAGCCGCGTCTACCCCGCAACATTAGGCTCTGCATGTGAGGCATTGCTTGTTCATTTTGTACACCATTTCCCTATCTACCTTGTATGATTGAACCTATCCGACTAAGAATCAGTGTTTCCATTTCATAACCTACTAACGTGCTCTGTCCATCTAAAGTCAAAACTTGCCAATTATTTGCTTGCCTGGATTCTCAGGATGCCCCCAACTGAACCCTTTTTTATAACTTTATTTTTTCTGAGTTTGTTGAGATTCACCAGCCTTCCTCGTTTCTGTATAAATATGCCTGATTCAATTTGATTTTCCAACAGAAGTTAAGGTGATCAAGAAAAGCAAAGAAAAACAAGCACCCGCCAAGAATGGAGCTTAGAGTCAATCATGTTGTTGCAGGTGAAGGGAGGATGGGATCCCCGAAAAGAGAGCTTCTTCGGTCGATGAAAGGCGGAAGAAACCATAAGAACAGCAGCAGGAGCAACCACCAGCAGCTGCTGGAATCCATTGCCAGAGCCAACAGTGGAGGAGGCCCTGCTGTCGTTTGCCAGGAAGGTGGTGGCGGTGGACCTGGAGTTGTGAGGATGAAGGTGCTGGTCAGGAAGCAAGACTTGAAGCAGATGCTGGAGCTTCTGGGAGACGGGGTGCAGAAGCAGGCTAGCAAATTGCCATCTTCCACTTCGCCATTGCCACGTCTGTCTTCCTCCTCCAGTGTGTCCAATGTGGAGCAAAGATTGAATCTTTTGAGGAGAAAGCAGGCAATTAGAGGGAATGGAGGAAAGGGTTGCAAGGCTTCGTCGCCCCGGTCATGGATTCCGGCCCTTCATAGCATTCCTGAAGAGCTCTGAGTAGCAGCAATGGTGGGGGGAATATGAAGGATCGTGTTTGATAGTTTTGACATCAAACATGTCCACCTTTTACAGTATCTTATAGGACACAATTTTTAACAGGAAAACAAAATTTAACTCTATTTATATTATAATAAGCATTGTAATAAGACTTCTTCCTATCATGAGGCTACCATCTTATATCTGATTGATGGTATTGCCAATGACTGAGGCACGTTTGTTTCGTCTTCCCCAGTCAAATGTTGTATTGCTGTTAAGGGTTTTTTTTTTCAGAGGGGAAGATGTTTTTTGGTGGAATTCATGTTTGTTCAGTTTGCATGACTGGCTTGGAAATTGGAATTCATTGTGGCTTACCATAAACTGTTCTGTATTTTAGTGGAAGGGTTGGAGATGGCAGTAATTTAAACTAATGATATTGTATCAAACACCTATTCAATATTTCATCTATTCGGCTAAACACAATCATTATGCATAATCGAAACTTGAAGGAGATTGTGGTCGACTAATCGATATAGCCCCACCAATTGGAGTGTGCTCTTAGATAATATAATATGGGTCAAGAGTTTTAATATGTTTTTCTGGGATTATGATTATTTCATACTTTAGATATCGTTCGCTTAACACAAAACTTTGAAACTTGCCTAAATTTTCCAGTCTCTCAACCTTAAATTAAAAAGTTTGTTATTAGTGGGTAGTGGATTAAAAAGACCATTAAAACTTAAAAGGATTTCAATGGATCTATCAAGCAAATACTAATCGCAATTGGCCAAGTTCATATATGTCATGTATTGTAATCAAATGATTTTATTCCCCATGCCACCACTTTGAGAATAATCAAGTGAGATTGGCATTTAATTCGTTTGCATTCAGACAAAAAAATTCGTATAACACATATCAACATATAAAATTTATACTGAAATCTTTTGCTTGTCCCGGCAATATATGCTTCCACATTTGCATTTGAATGCCTTGATAGGATGGTAGATGCCATCAAATTCAATGCCATAATCCTGCAAAATCCCACCAAACCCTAAAATTTCTGTGAGAGAAGTTATAATATGTCAATGATCAACCCTAAAAGTAGTGACGTGGAATGGTCAACGAAGAAAGCCCGCGAAAGCCCATGAACCATGGTTATATTATATGGGCCTAGACCGAGAGAAATTTTGACCCGCGGGCGCGACCGGCTCGGCCTGCGAAATACATTATAAATACCCAAACACAATTTAGGTCGTTCGAGAGTTGAAAAAAATGGCGGCAAGTGTTCTTCCCAGCTACTGCCGCAGCTCGTCTCACAAATCAATCGCCGATTCAACTAAACGACTCGACGAACCGAAGTCAGCTCAGTTCCCCGAGCGAGCAAGGAATTCCCGACGGAACTCTTCGAGACCTTCTAACAAGCCGAACAGCCTCGCACTCACTCGTTCTTCCTCAGCATTAGCTGATTCTGGTTCTTCCATGGATGCCGCGCTCCAGCTGTTCGAGAAAATGAACCGCTCAGATGCCTTCATTTGGAATGTCATCATTAGGGGACTCGCAAGAAACGGTTTGTTCGCTGAAGCAATCGATTTCTACCGCAGAATGGAGCGGGAAGGGATTAGGATGGACTATTTTCACCTTCTCGTTTGTTATTAGAGCGTGTGGGAAGTGGATGCGTTTCACAGAGGGGCAGCAGGTTCACGCCAGGCTGATTAAAGTCGGGTTGGATTCCGACGTCTACGCTTGTGATTTTCTCGTGGAGATGTATTTCTCGGTTGGGTGCGTTGAGCTGGCGGAGAAGGTGTTTGAGGAAATGCCTCAGAGGGACCTAGTTTCATGGAACTCTATGGTTGCTGGGTATCTGACGGCTGGAGATGGGTTCAGCTCGTTGGGTTGGTTTCGGGAAATGGTTGGTTCGGGGTATAAACCGGATAGTTTCGGCGTGATCGGTGCTCTCGGATCTTGTTCCCATGGAAAGCTGCTTGAAATCTGGGAAGGAAATTCACTGCCAAGTTATTAAGAACGGGATTGATTTGGATGTCATGGTATTAATGCTTACGTGCTAAGTGGCAAATCTGCAGAGTCATTTGCTTGTTTGAGCATAATGCAAGAGAATTGCAACAAGGTTCCAGATGCTATTTCCTGTATAAATGTTCTTTGTTCGCAACTAGGATCTCTCCAGAAGTGTAAGTCCATCCATGGATACGCCATCAGGAAGCTCCTTCTCCCTCAGGTAGTCTTGGAAACTTCCCTGGTCGATGCTTATGGAAAATGTGGAGGAGCAGTGAGATCGGCAGAACGTCGTTTCAGTCTTATCAGCGAGAAGAACTTGGTATCATGGAACAACGTGCTTGCTGCTTATGTACACAATGAAAAGCACCAAGAAGCTCTCGAACTGTTTCAGAACCATGTGGTTGAAGAAGAAAGCACCGCCTTAAACCGGATGCAATCACAATCGCTAGCATCCTTCCTTCCTACGCAGTGGTAAATGAATGTAAGCAGATCCATGCTCTTGCTGCCAAGTTCGGCTCAAACACCGTCATCTCCAATATGGGTACACGATTCAGGACTTCAGGTATGTATTCTATTCTCTAATAAAATCAATTTATGTTCGTGCGGTACTTTATTTTTTCACGCAATCTCGTTGTCTAATTGACTCAACAAAATCATTCAATTAATTTACTGTATCAAACTAGTTATCTAAAGTTCACTCCGCCAAAGAAGTCAATCCCAAAGTATCCGTGAAAGTAAGAAAAAAGTAAGAAAAGGAGTCAACTTCGTATCTACAGTTGTGCCACTGTCAAGTGTCAGCCAGTCAAACGAAACAGACTCCTGAAAACACGAAAGTCTCCACCTTTTTCTAATTCAGCCAGCCTTCTCGCCGTCTCGGCAGACGGTGTTCTCTGCCTCTTCTTCCGGCAAAATCTCCATTCTCTTCTTCCCCGATAGCAATTGCAGAACTCCTTTCACAACGACTTCGTTCATCCACGCGAGGCACCCGCACTCACCCTGATGCGAGGAAAATCGAGACTTGTTATCCTTGGCCCTCCGGAAAATCCCGAAAATCCCCCCGCCGGGGTAATCTTCCCCCGCCGAGGGGGTCATCGGCTGCAAGTAGGCCCAGGCGGCCTGCTTGACGATCGGATCCTTGAGCGGGATGTCTTCCCAGCTGGAATTGCGGCCGACCGGTGACAGCATGGACGCCGTGCGGAGCAGGTTCTTGAAGCTGGTGTACTCCTTCGACGACTGGTCCAGCTCGATCATCTCTATGGTCAAATTGGCAAAAGCGGCGGCGGCGGCGGAGGATTTGCGGCCAACGCCGTCGGGACATTGGCTGCATTGGTCGAAGCTGAAGATGCTGCCACCGGGCTTGCCGTCCTCCTCGTTCATCATCGATCGTCGATTGTTTGTTTTGCTTCCGGACGAGATTGAAAATTGTTAATCGGTTAGGTCCGATTTTCCTTAATTTATGTGACGATTGTGTGATTCGTTTTCGGTTTCGGAATATTTGATTTCAGATTTTTCACAAAGATTAAGAAATTAGATTCCGATTTGAATTCGAACTCTTTCCATTGTAAGTTAATTTTCCAGCATTTTAATTTCTAGGAAAATAAATAACGAAGTAGTTTTTTCCATTTAGCTTGAAGCCTTGAACTAATTGCCAATTTGCCACTTGGCATTCGCTGATATGTGTTCCGTTCTGCAGTCTGAAATCGCCGATTGCGTTGTTCTTCCTCTCCCAAATCGGAGACCCAGATGCAAAGTCCCTCCTCTCCTTCGTTTGCACTCCGGGAACCGGCAAATGCTCCAGTTGGCTTCTTCTGCTCAAGCGGCGCCGTTTCTTCATTGGTGTAACGGAGCTGTTATTCCGCTCGACGCGTGGTGTCCGAGTCCAACTCATGCAGCACAATCAGGCCGCGCGGCGTTCACCGCATCGCTGCTGACACCTTCGCCGATTCGGTCTCCGCCACCTCTTTTCTTTTCGTATGGTTAGTAGACGGTTGTTGGCCTTTCTCCACCTAACTCTGCAATTTCACACTCTTTATCCGCCATGTCTTCACAATCTCAATCAGTTGTGCCTTCTACTCTTTCTTTGAAATCTCTGATGATTCGATCTTGACGCGAGACCAGTGGTGGGTTTTATCTGATTAGCCCGTTCCTTGAATAAAGGTAAGATTTTCTTGAAAATTTATTTTTTTAAGACATTTTCATGGGTACTGAGAAAGAAAACCTTGATTAGGTCTTCTGGGTTTTTGTATATTTTCTGTGGTTTGGATGTATGGTTAATGTGTGAAGCTGTCGGGCCTTGGATTGTTGTTCAGTAATTATTAATTAGATCTTCTATTCATTAATGTTGAAGCTCGTTGCTAGGTTGAACGAGTAGCAGGTGCTCCTGTGGTATGTTCTTGCTGATGTAGTTTCCCATTTAGGAATGCAAAGCTTAGAAAGAAAGTACTTTAGTATACTATCACCCGATCGATTTCCAGTGAATGCATGTTGAGGGAGCAATAAAGATTCTTTCAGTTCAGTCTTTCCCATTCAGTTAAATCTCTTAGCGTCCCTAAATCTTTGATTGATACTTCAAATGCAGAAGCAAAGGAACTCTTTCCAATTGCAAACTCCATCCACCATCATTATGGACACCAACAATGCTGACGACTATTCACCAATTGGTTCTCCGTCTTCCCCCAAGCTGAACAACTACCGCAAAGTCTCAATCCTCCCACTAGTGTTCCTCATATTCTATGAAGTCTCCGGTGGACCCTTTGGAGTCGAGGACAGCGTCAATGCCGCAGGACCACTCTTAGCTATCCTTGGCTTCCTCATCTTCCCATTGGTATGGAGCATCCCGGAGGCCCTGATAACAGCTGAGCTCGGCACAATGTTCCCCGAGAATGGTGGATATGTGGTCTGGGTCTCCTCAGCTCTCGGCCCTTTCTGGGGTTTTCAACAAGGCTGGATGAAATGGCTGAGCGGTGTAATCGACAATGCTCTATACCCTGTCCTTTTTCTTGACTACCTAAAACCTGCAATCCCATCGCTTGAAGACGGCTTCATAAGGATGGTGGCGGTTCTCGTATTAACGTTTATGCTCACACTCTTGAACTATAGGGGATTAACAATAGTAGGATGGGCAGCTATACTGCTTGGAGTGATCTCACTTCTTCCGTTCCTCATCATGGGAGTGATAGCATTTCCTAAGCTCGAGCCCTCGAGGTGGCTGGTGGTCGACTTCAGCAAAGTCAACTGGACATTGTACTTGAACACTCTCTTCTGGAACCTCAACTACTGGGACTCGATTAGTACTCTAGCAGGAGAAGTCGAGAACCCTGGTAAAACCCTACCCAAGTCACTCTTCTATGCGCTTATCCTAACAGTTTTCAGCTACTTGATCCCGTTATTAGTGGGGACTGGTGCACTACCCCTCGATCAGGATCACTGGACCGACGGTTACTTCTCTGAGATAGCCAAGGTTCTGGGAGGCGTGTGGCTAATGTACTGGGTTCAAGCAGCTTCTGCAGTGTCGAACATGGGGATGTTCATCGCCGAAATGAGCAGCGACTCGTTCCAGCTTCTGGGGATGGCCGAAAGAGGAATGCTTCCCAAGTTCTTCAGCAAGAGGTCTCGCTACGGGACCCCTTCGATCGGGATACTGTTCTCTGCCTCAGGGGTCGTGCTGCTCTCGTGGATGAGCTTTCAGGAGATTGTGGCTGCGGAGAACTTCTTGTACTGCATTGGGATGATCATGGAGTTTGTTGCGTTCATTAAGCTGAGGATCGATTACCCGGGAGCAACAAGGCCTTATAAGGTCCCTCTTGGGACTGGTGGAGCTGTTGTGATGTGTGTTCTTCCAGGCCTATTGCTGGTGGTGGTTTTGGTGATTGCTCCTTTGAAGGTGATGGCAGTTAGCGCCGCGGCAATTGTTGTTGGACTCGTTATGTATCCATCTTTGCAGTATGCTGAGAGGAAGAATTGGCTGAGATTCTCCAAGAATTCTGAACATGTAGACCTGCATTCTTCCTTGACTTCTGTATAGTGGTACTGAAGACTCAACTTTGTCATGTGTCTTTTCTTTGAACAAATGGTAGAAGAGACTTAAAAGGAAGAGCATTAAAGCACTGTGTAGTTCTGGTTAGTTTAGTTAGCTGTTCCTCTATTTGTACTACGTGCCAGCTCTTTGAAAGTTTAGTAATTTATTTACTGTTTGTTTTGTATACTGGGCGTTGCTATCCTTGTTTGATGTTTCCATTAGACTTTGGATTTGGAAGAATTGCATTCAGTCTCTGTTTTTTTGGGGTTTCTTTCTTTCTGTATGATGTGCTGCAAACAAGCTGTTGTTTTTCACAGCAGGCCACCTTTCGACAGATGTTTCATGCAGAAACATTTGTCAATTACCGATGGAAATCTGGAACCAGGTAATACTCCTATGTGTCCTATATGGGTTTTTCCCTTGTATTATGGAAGGCGGATAATAGCCAGAATTTGTCGGACTTTACAATTCTTTCCTTTGTCTTCAGGGGAAAACATCACTATCATGTTGGAATTCACTAGGCGGACTCAAACTTGAAAGAAACAGGCAGAGGATAGAAGGAAAACAAGAAAGAAGAAAACATCATACAGTGTTTCGCTTTGTTATGCCCTTTCCATTTCTCCTTCTCATCCTTCTTCTTCCTCCTCTTGTTGCTCTAGGTGCCATTGATCATCAGTACTACGATGGGTGTCTTCAGGAACAGCCCGAGGGAAGCGCCAAGGAGGAAAAGATCATCTTCCACAACACTCCAACACTTGTTCAACTTGGAATCAAACAAGGGAAGCAGCAACAACACCACCGATTGTTGCAACGGTCCTGTAACCAACAAGCAAACCGATGAAGAAATCATGTCCCTGGTATGCCACTGCACCACCACCATCTTCACCTTCGTCGATGATGACTTGGAGTCTCCATCAGCACAAGAAGCGAAGAGGGTCAAGCTCCTCCAGCTTCTCTCCATCATAAAATCACTCAAACGGGAGCTCCCAGATCACGTCGTTACCTCCCTTGTGGCCATGATCTCGGCCAATCTCTTCAGGCCGCTCCCTCCAACATGTAACAACAACGTTCGCCAGCCGGCCCCAGCTGAGGAAAGTGAGGAGCTCGCCTCCTCGCTCTCCCCTCTCTGGTCCCACCTCCAGCCCATCTATGACATCCTCCTCCGCCTCCTTATTATCGTGGATCCCAAATCACACCATTGCCGTCTCATTATCGATCAACAGTTCCTCCTCAGCCTCCTCGACCTCTTCCAGTCTGAGGACCCGAGAGAGCGGGAGAGCTTGAAGAATGTTTACCACAAGATATATTCGAAGTTCACGTTTTACCGAGCATTCATGAGGAAGTCGATGAATGATGTCCTGTTACACTATGCTTTTGAGGCCGAGAAGAACTCGGGGATAGGCGAGCTGCTCGAGATATGGGGTAGTATCATTAATGGATTTACCGTGCCGTTAAAGGAAGAGCATAAGTTGTTCTTGATGAGGGTGTTGATTCCTTTGCACAAGACGAAAGGGATGATGGTTTATCACAGGCAGCTGGCTTACTGTGTCTCTCAGTTTGTGCAGAAGGAGCCTATGCTTGGTGGGTTGGTTGTTAGAGGAATCCTGAGGTACTGGCCTATTACCAATTGCCATAAGCAGATCTTGCTGATCAGTGAACTGGAAGAACTGGTGGAGAATATCAGTTCTGACCATTATAGAAGGCTGGCTTTGCCCTTGTGCACCCAAATCACAAGATGCCTCAACAGTTGGAACTCTCAGGTATTGTTTCAATCAAGCTTTCTATCTGGAGTAGTTTTGACATGTTTTCTATGATATGCTTTCGATGTATGTAGACGAATTGTTTCTGTAACGAAATTATATAAACTTCGTTCTTGGACCTAAATGTGAGTTATAGTGATGATTTGGTTCATGACATTGATACAAAAGATTCTAATGACTTTCTTGTACAGTTTGTTTCTGTTTTCATGGATTCCTATATAGCCACGACCCAATCTTGGGATTGTCACTTATTTCTGATTTGGAAATATACCTCCTTTGGAATTCTATTAAACCAGTACCTATTTTGGTTTCTTGTACAACCTGAGCAAGACATTCACATTCGTTTGCTCATATCGAACACATGTTCTACAATGGCGATATCTGATCTTACTGTACTGATATACGAAACCTCCAGGTTGCAGAGCGAGCTCTATACTTGTGGAACAACGAGATGTTTGTGAAGATGGCAACATCCGCCATCGAAGAAGTGTTCCCAGTGGTGGTCGAAGGGATGGAGAAGAACATGAAATGGCATTGGAGCAGCAGCGTGAAGCAACTGACGGAGAATGTGAAGAAGATGCTGGAAGAAATGGACCCGACCCTTTACGACAAGTGTCTCCAGGAGATTGGCCACAAGGATTTCGTCGCAAGGCAAGAGGAGACGAAGAGGAAGGCTAGATGGGAAAGAGTCGAACTGCAGGCAGCCATGAATACAAACAACCATCATCAACATCATCAGGCTATTCTTCAGCCGCAAACGCCACCACCAACGCCGCCGCGACGGCTGCCTCAGTACATTGTTGTTTCCCATTAGAGATCTGCAGCGGAAGATCAAAGACCTGGTCATGGAATCCCCCGCTCATAATTTCGGTGGTGTTTGATTCTATTTTTTTAATCTTTTGATTTGTTGTTTTGTGTTGTTTATGTGGTTGATCTCTGTTCTTGTTATGTGGTTCAAGGGATGTAATAACCATATATACAAATTGTGTGACATTAGGCAATTCTGGAATTGGTCAAAATGAAGTAGGTGATGGACCCATTGAGATGACCAGGACTTGTAACTATCCAAATTCTGTGGTTGTCTGCATGTAGGTCAACTCGATCTCATGTCAGATTGGTTTATCATCGATTTCGTGTGAAATCATTTTCTAATTATAATAATTGAACTAGATCAATGGCTGGATTAGTAAAACTAATTACAATTTTTTATGGTTTGACACGTTACCATATGAACTACTTCGGATTGACTGCATTGACTAGTTTACTTGTTCACTATTTGAGGAATTGATTAATGTGCTAACACTTTTTTAAGTATGGTGCTAACACTTGCTACAGCCAATAGGAAGATTTTGTTTGGATGACTTTTGCATTTAAATTAGTCGACAATAATTAATGAGGGGAGAGGAGAATGATGGGCACGCTTGTACTATGAAAAATTGGAGAAGGGTGGACTCATCGTCCTTTTTGCATTAAATGTGAGGGAGGGAGGGGGACCACTGAAGTAGGCAGGCCAGAACCTTCTCAAAGTAGGTCAGAACCTCCACGGAGTAGACCGGAACCTTAAAATAGGTCAAAATCTCCTCAAAGTAGGCTGAAACCTTCTCAAAGCACGCTAAAATCTCAAAGTATGCCAGAACCTCAAAGCAAGCCAGAAGTTTTTCAAAACTTACCTGAAGTTTCTTAGTAGTGGACATATTTTATAAATTTTAAAAAGTTTAGGTACCAAAATGTAAGAAAGAAAAACTTCAGGTACTAAAATATAATTTTCGATCAATATTTTTAGGACTTGAATGGAAAAAATTTGATTTTTTATACTCAATATTAATACGTATAAAATTCAGGTACTAAAACTGTAATTTGTAAATGATACACTACAAAACGCAACCTGGAGGAAGGGGAAGGGGAAGAGGAAAAAGAATAGTTACTATAAAAGTGTTAGCATGATGCTAAGTTGCTAACACTGTTTAGCAAAAGTGTTAGCAACCTATCGAGTCCATCATTTTAATGACAAAAAATTAAGAACTAAAATACTTTTACATAAACTAAGACCATCCAACCTCAATTACTAGTTCTGTTTATCCTTCGTTTTCTTCATTTTACATCGTCGGTTTTATGTGGGTCCACTATGGATTATCACTCTGATTACAAACTTGTATTTAATAATAAAAAATAATTATTTCTTTTATGGGATAATTTGAATGATTTGTTAGAACTTTTTTGATGATAGATGATATGAATTCGTAATTATTTATGATCAGTGATAAATACAACCATAAATCAATATATCATGTATATTTTACGTTATAGTGCTGTGCATATGACCAATTCTCTAACGGGTTCGACCATTGAATCATCAAACACTAACTTTTCTGTCTGGAAAAATAAAAGTTGTAGTAAACTTTTTAGCATATCAATTGACTAGTTTCTTAATAAAGAGAGGATGTAAAACTTATACAAATTAGTTCCTTTCACTAAATCCACAGAACACAAAACTTCATACTGTTAGAGATAGATTAGGAATAATCTTATATTTCCTTGTCCATCTAGTATAGTTCTTAATGTTTTCATGTCCTTTTAGTATTGTGGTTCTCTTACTTATTGCCCAAGTCTTGTAATCTATATAAACCCCTTTGTGGTTTCATAATAACACACACTACTATTCCTAAAACTCCTATATGGTATCAGAGCCTCTAGCTTAACAGCCTTGATCCAGGAACCCTAAACCCTTTTTTTTTTCTCATTCACCGGCGAGATGAGCCCTCACTCCCCCGGTTAATTCCCTCCTCCCTTCCGCAAACTTTAACCCTGCATCCCACAATTGCCTTTCATGTTATTATGTTTTCCTTGTTTTTATTTTCCAAATAATTTCGTTAGTTGTTTTTTATTCAGTTTGATAGAGTTTTCATTTTATTCCTAATCTTCTTCCTTCTCTCTCGTCCCCAGCTGCGCCAAAAGCATCCCATTGTCCTAGTGTCTAAAGTGTCATTCCCCAAATCAATTTTTCATCAATTACTCATCCCTATTTTTCATTGTCTCCGACTCTGCTAAATTTTTGTGCTACGAAGCTCGATCACTGCCGCCTTACTTCGGAGATGAGGCTCTGGCTTTTACAGCTGATTGCTCAAGAGTTTGTATGGTATGGAGTCCACAGTCAATCTCCAGCCATCTCTCCTTTGTGTGTATGGAACAAAGGAAGTTTCTCCGACCACAGTCATTCGGATGAATTCTTCGTGTCCTACACTAGTTTCCGTTTATTGGTATCGTTAAAACCAATTGATTATTGTTCATCTCGTTTCCGGTCAATTTTTGACAACGAGTAAGTTTTGTTGCAACATATGAATTGCAAGTTTGATGATTTCTTCTTCTCCAAGACGACGGTTAGTTGGCTTCGCTCTTCAAGCATGAGAGTTCGACGAGTTTGCAGCACATATACACCACCACATTGCGGGGGCGTGTTCTTCAAAATTGGCGTATTTTGGTCAAGATTGATGTTGTTCTTCACACCATCATCTTGCGGGGGCGTGTTAGAGATAGATTAGGAATAATCTTATATTTCCTTGTCCATCTAGTATAGTTCTTAATGTTTTCATGTCCTTTTAGTATTGTGGTTCTCTTACTTATTGCCCAAGTCTTGTAATCTATATAAACCCCTTTGTGGTTTCATAATAACACACACTACTATTCCTAAAACTCCTATACATACTACAGTTGAGTCATCATCTTCTACATGGGATCGTGACCCCATAGATTAAAATACGAGGGGTCTTCAAACCCATCATCACCACCACCATGGAACGGATAGACGACCTGCTGCTGAAACCCATACGAGTGCGGGAGATGAAACGACGATGGCAGATCCAACAAATCGTCGAGCCCACAGAAAGCCGGATCAACACCATGGCGTCTCTCCACATGATGATCACGATTTCCACTTCCCGTAGTAACATCCCATGGCAGCACGATTTTCTCATGCCTCCAGTTTGCTGCTGCTGCTGCTGCTTCTTCTTCTCCACCGCCATCCGCCACAATCCCCTTGCCTTTGCCATCTGGAGCATCGTCATCCACCGCGGCAGGAGCAGCAGCAGCCACCAATGTCTCCTCCCCTGCATCTCCTTCTTCTTCTTTCACCATTGGATTGGCTGCTGCTGCTGCTTCCGCCGCCTCGAAACAATCAGCTGCGAGAGGTTGGGGTGGAAGCATACAGGGAGCAGCCGCACTCGTTTCTTCTTGTTCTGTCTTCCACTGACCATCATCAACTGGAACGGCTGCTGCTGCTGCTGCTGCTGGCGGCTCCGAATAATCAGCAATGGCTGCTTCTTGTGTCGTAGTACTAGTATGGTAATCCTTGTATTCTTGAAACTCCAACACGGATTGTGGATCAGCACCACCGCATCCTTGATCTCCCCAGTCGAATTCCCAGTCCTGGACATCGAAATCGATCCTCGAAGTTATGTCTAATTCATCCAATTCTTCTTCTTCTTGGACTGGTTCTGGACACTGTGGTTTCTGTGGCAGCACTTGATTCGAACAATCGGACACCGGAGAAGGCAGGGGAGGCACTCGATTCGAACAATCGAACACCGTAGAAGGCAGGGGAGGCACTCGATTCGAACAATCGAACACCGCAGAAGGCAGGGGAGGCACTCGATTCGAACAATCGAACACCGCAGAAGGCAGGGGAGGCACTTGATTCGAACAATCAAACACTGTAAAAGGCAGGGGAGGCTGTTGTTGTTGTTGTTGTTGCTGCAGTGGTTGATTTGGGGCGGAATTGGAATAGCACACTCTTTTGCTGCTGCTAGTGGAAGTAGAAGCGTCATCAGAGCTGCTGCTGGAGGAGGAGGAGAATCTCCTGATGTAATCCTCGAGCTTCCTCTTCCTTCCGGCGAGAACGGACTGTCTCGCCGCCTCCTTAATCGCGTTCCCCGTCGGTGACCCGTTGTTGCGGATCATACAGACGACTTGATTCTCGTCGTCGTCGCTGCTGCGGCCGTCGTCTCTCCTCATGCTGAACTGGTGGAGGATCCACCTGGAGTCCTCGCTGGCGAATTGGGGATTGGGGTTTCTGTAGCTGAACCGCTTCCGCGTGCCGACCCACCGCTCGTCCTGCTCCGCCGGCGACCGGGCGCGGCGGACGAGCTTGAACAGGGTCCCGTTGTCCTCGCCGTGCCAGTTCCCGCCGCTCCTCCCGACCTTCCTGGTCGCTCTCTTGTTCACGCCGCCGCCGGATTTTAGCTTCTTCTTCAGCTCGGTGAACGCGTAGACGTCGCCGGGCTCCTCGACGGAGGACTGGAGGCGGCGCCAGATCTCCCACGGGTCGTCGTCGCCGTAGAGGTTGTGGCAGCGGATGGCAGAGTAGTGGGCCGGCGGCAGCGTGCGGCGGATGTGGTTGTACAGGTAGTAGCCCATCAGTTCTCCTTCCGTCGGGGAGAACTTCACGCCCGGTGGCATCTGCGTCGCCCCCGACGTAGACGAAGGACCAGCCCCAGCCCTTTCCCTAATCGAACCCATCGACATTCTCCGATCTCTTTCTTCTGTTTCTTGATTGTGAACTTTTTTCTTCTTTTTTTTCACCTTTCTGGAATTGGAATGAAGAAGAAAGAAGGAAAAGGGCAATATATAGAGAGACTGAATCGTGCTCTGTTTTCAGTGGCTTTCCGACGGGCAGAAGGATTTCATCGGAGAGTAAGGATTCCCGTCTCCACTACGGACAAGGATTTTGCCGCGCTGTGGCGGGAAAATTATTGTAAGAACTTATTATGGATTGGGTAGCGTTGTACTTATTGGGCCGTTAAAATATATTGGGCCTCTATATAAGTTTCGTTTGGGCTCATGGTCGTCATACCCGTCCAGTATGGTTGGGTTGTTTTTTTTTATCATCTTTGGGCTTGGGCAATGAGTATTTTTTGAGAATTCACTACTGGTATTTCATTGAAATCAATGATCAATTGCCTCCACGGCTACAATATCAGCTACCATTAAAGGCAAACAATTGTTCTCAAAAAGAGATTCATCAGGGATAGTAGAAAGATGAGCTAGTAGGTGAGCAGCATTGTTGGCTTCTCTATACGCAAAAGACCATTCACGAACATCCAACTCTTCTGACTCCTTCAGTATGTCCGAGCATATACTTCCCAGCTCAGTTCTGATGATCCTGCCTTGTTTCAGCAGCTGGACAATTTTTCTACAATCCGACTCCACAACAACGGGACCAAATCCCCTCTCCTTCACTAATCTAATCCCATACAGGATGGCCATACCTTCTGCAACATCCGGAGGCCACCTGACTTTGATTCTTTTGCTGGCAGCGAAGATTGCATTACCCTCCCAGTCTCTAAGTATGCATCCCAACTTCACCTCTCCTCTAGTACTTACCCCTGCATCTGTATTTAACTTAAGAACTCCTATAGAGGGTTTCTTCCACCTGTTATCATCTCTTTGTCTCCGTCTAACTGAATCATGATCCTTCCCTTGAACTTCCAGAAAGCAGTGGATGAACTCGTCTGCTCGGGGGAAGACCTGCCATTCTTCCAAGAACTTCTTATTGAACAGGACATTATTTCTGTCCTTCCAGAAGAACCATAGTAAGGAGCTCACTTGTGCCACCTCCTTTTCTGAGTAGTTATTAACTACATGGGATAGCCATTGTTTACAGGTGAGGCCTTCAGCCTTATAGAAGATCTCCGCCAGCGGGGTTTTACTCCAAATGCGGCAATTCCAGCTACAATCAACCAAACAATGCTTCAGAGTTTCCTTAAGGCCACAGTTTGGGCACTCCTTCCCCAGGTTCTTGACTTTCTTGCTGATTTTGACACCAACTGGAAGAATATTATGCACTGCCTTCCATAAAAAGGTTTTGAGTTTCCCTGGCATGTTGGTCTTCCACAGCTTTTTCCAATTAAACTCACCCCCATTCCCATCAGTGTTGATCGCTTCCTCTTCTTCCATTCTTTTCTGCTCAAATAGGTATCCTGACTTTACAGTATAATTCCCATCTTCAGTCCCTATCCAGCACAAAGCATCCTTGTCTGCAGTTGAGGCCAGTGGAATCTCCATAATCGCCTGCCTCTCATTCGGTGTGAAAATTAGTTCAAGCAGATCATGCCTCCAAGTTCTCGTTTCCTGATCAATAAGAGTCGACACTCTTGCCTCCCACTCCATGAACGGGCAGTAAGAAAACACTTCAAAGTTGTCGAGATTAGGAACCCATTTATCATTCCAGATTCTAACTTCCTCCCCAGAACCAATTTTCCATCTGCATCCTGCTTTGAGCATGTCCTGAGCCCCTAGAAGACTCCTCCAAATATAACTAGGCCGCCATCCCAACTTAGCTTCCAGAATAGAAGTTCGAGGATGGTATTTTGCTTTGATCAATCTGGCCACAAGAGTGTCGGGTTTTGTATGCAAATTCCAGAGCTGTTTTGCCAACATCGCCTTGTTGAAAATTCTTAGGTCTCTAAAACCCATTCCCCCTTCTTCCTTTTGTTTGCACAACTTCTTCCACTTTTTCCAATGGATTCTTCTTTCAGATCCTTTCTGCCCCCACCAATAGTTAGCCATCAAGCTATGTAGATCATCAATAATTCCATCAGGTATTTTGAAAACCGACATGGCGTAAGTAGCCTGTGCTTGGGCGACACTTTTGATCAGTATCTCCTTTCCTGCATCACTGAAGTACCTGCTCTTCCAATTTGTTATCTTATTCCTCACCCTTTCCTTCAGATTCTGAAAGACCATTTTCTTCGATCTACCCACCATCGTTGGAAGGCCGAGATACTTGGCCAGCTTGTCCACTTCTCTAATCCCCATTTCTGCACAAAGATCTCTTCTCTTCTCCTCCTTAATGTTGCTGCTGTAATAAATCTCAGACTTATCAAGGTTCACCATTTGTCCAGATTCAGCTTCGTATAACTTCAGGATTTCTTTCAGCTTCTTAGCTTCATTTATGCTCGCCCTTGCAAACAGAACACAATCATCAGCAAACAGCAGATGAGAAATAGTAGGGGCTCTATTACAGATTTTGATTCCATGAATTTCCTTATTTTTTTCATACTTATTGACCAGAGCTGATAGTCCCTCAGAGCAAAGAAGGAAGAGGTACGGGGAGAGAGGATCTCCCTGTCGCAGTCCTCTTCCCGGCTTGAAGAATTGTGATTTATGTCCATTCACTAACACTGCATATGAAACAGAAGACACACAAGACATGATCAGCCTTATCCAGTTTTCACTGAAACCCATTTTTCTCATAATTCGTTCAAGAAATTCCCACTCAACTCGATCATAGGCTTTAGCCATATCGAGTTTTAAAGCCAAATAACCTCTTTCACCTTTAGTCTTCTTCTTCATGGTATAGAAGCATTCGAAGGCTGCAATCACATTGTCGATAATGGATCTCCCCGGTACAAACGCACTCTGAGCTTCACAAATGAGATCATCCAGAGTCCCTTTTAGGCGATTAGCTATAGTTTTGGACAGAATCTTATATAGCACAGTGCAAAGGCTGATCGGCCTGTAATCTTTAGGGGAAGCAGGATTCTTTACCTTAGGGATCAGGGCAATCAGCGTCTTGTTGAGGCTTTCAGGGATGCGTCCATCTCGAAGGAAGCTTGTCAGTTCAGCTGTAATTTTGGGTGCCAGAACATTCCAATTCTTTTGAAAGAACAGTGGTGGGAAACCATCATCCCCAGGGGCTTTTGTGGCACCCATTTGGAAGAGAGCAGTCTGGATTTCTTCGGCTGTAAAAGGCCTTAGAAGCTTTTGATTCATCTCGTTTGTTACTTTCCTTTCCACCCCTTCAACAACCTTCCAGTTAACACAGCCTGTTCTGCTTTCAAACAGATCTTTATAGTAGGTGGTAAGACAATCAGTGACTTCCTCTTGCCCTCTGAATAGTCGCCCCCTCTCATCTTTTAGCTTTCTTATGGTGTTTTTCCTCCTTCTTTCCGTAGCCCTCGCATGAAAAGCCTTGGTATTCTTCTCACCTTCCCGTAACCACTCCATCCTAGATCTTTGTTTCCACCTCTGCTCGTTTTTGTAAAGCAAATCCTGTAATTCGATTTCCAAATTTCTCTTCTTCATTCGCCAATCTGGATCCCTTCTTTGGGTCTTCAGCTCCTTTATCTTTTTTCGAACCTGGGCGATTCTCTTCGGGATTTCCCCAAACTTTTCCGAGCTCCAGCTTGTAAGCTTGGCCTCGCACTTCTTCAGGCTTTCTTCAACGCTCTCTACCCCAGCTTGTTCCCAAACTTCACTGATGATTGTATTGCTCTCCTCATCTTTTGCCCAAAAGGACTCGAATCTGAAGCTTTTTCCCCATCTGATGTCGATCTCTCTATCTCCCTCGACGTCGATAAGAATAGGAAGATGGTCCGAGACCACCCCATCCAGATGCAACACAATTGCTTTCGGGTTTAGATCCATCCATTTCCTGTTTGCCACTGCCCGGTCCAGCCGTTCCTCAATCAAGGCCTGTATATCTCTTCTGTTTTCCCAGGTATATGGGTATCCGATGAAGCCCAGATCAATAAGCCCACTATCTGCCAAGGCATTATTGAACCCAATCAACCTCTGTTCCCAGGTATATGAGTAACCGCGGCATGAAATTAGCCCTAAGAAAGCTTAACAAAAGAGGAGTTAGAGGCCTCAATCTGATACACATCTGAAATTAATCCTTTTTGTTAGAACTGTCGTCCAGTCGGAACAGTAGAACCGTCAAATCAATTGGTCATCGTAAAAGCGAGTCAATTCGTTTATTTGCAGATTCAGAAGTAAATCGACCGTTGAATATTTGGTTTGATATGTCCAGTCTGATTATGAAAACTAAGAAAATTTTCAATACGAAAAATTAGCTTCGATGTCTTGGTAATTCCTGTTAATTCCGAGTACTGAGAAATCTATTGGTAGGGGGAACAAAGAACTTCATTGTGGCAAGCAAATGTGAGTCCCCATTCTCAAAAGAGATGTGTGCTATAAACCATAAAACCAATTATAACTTAACACAAGTATATCCCAACTACATTCTAAATTGCAGTTTTATACAAAGGTGCAATGACACACACATCCTACAAGCAGAAAACCAAAATAAAAGGCTTGGCTATGATCATGCAATTTGAGTAATTACAGGTGTTACAGCAGTAGATGTTCAACTTCCCTTCTATAGCCCTCCTCCTACCTTAGGTACAGGGAGACCAAGAATTGAGACACCAGAATGAACTCACTAACCACCGCAGCTGGAGAGTGGAGGCCGAGAAATGGGACGATATCAACCTGGAGCCAGCTTTCAACCGCCGAACCCACCACAGCACCTGCGACAAGCCCTCCCAATGTAATCACAGTCGCCTTACCTGCAGAACGAAAACAAACCACCACCATTACAATGCAGGAAATGTGGGTGGGGGGAGAAGGCATGCTCGTTGGAGGGTTTGAGGGCTCGTTACCTAGTTTCACCTTCTTCTTGGTCATGAAGTATAACGAAGCTCCCAAACTCGTGGCCAAGAGCAGCCCGGGGACATCAGCTGCAGCATAGGGCACCACGGATGAGGTGGCAGCCCCGTTGGCATAAGTCAGGACCATTAGGGCTCCATAAACACTGGCTTGTATTCCCAAATCTGTAGTTGGTGGTGCCTCAACTGAGATGGGTGGATTCTTGACTGTAGTCTGCAGCCATTGGGGCATTGCTCCACCCATCCTTCCTCCTGGAGTGCTCACGGGAGTCACATCAGCGTAACGAATCCGACTGTTTGCTACTTTCCCTGCCCGACGTTGAGATAGGCTTTGCATTAAGATCATGTCGTACGCAGCTTCAACCTGACAAAAGAAGAAACCAATCAAAACCCCACATCAGATATGATCATCCCAATAGGGAGAGCAAGGGACAGCGAGCAATAGTACAATCACAACAGTTCATGAGATAAAAAAAAATGATACCATGACTGTAAAGTAAAGAACTTCACATTCAGATTTCAGTATGCAATGGAAGCTAAACTACGCCCTAAATTCAGCAACCCATTCCGCTGAATTGCTCACTGTAGAGAGCTATGTTGTCTAATCGCCATAACTCTACAACGAGGATCTCGGGCGGCCATTATTGCTATAGTTCAACAAACTAGTTTCCCCGCCATCAAACTCAAACCTCGCCCAAAAAGGCCAAAACCCCAATGGCGGAACATTCGAGAATTTCGCCACAAAACACCGAATATTCATATAGAAACGATCCAATTCCAATGCGAGAAAGGAAAGTCGGATTGCCACGCTCCAGCCTCCAGGTTAGTCACGGCTAAGAGCTAAAACGAACAACCCAAACTTCCCAATTAACCGATTCCAATCTCTGCAAGCACTCGGGAATTTCCAGAATTGGAAAGGCAAATCAGTTTTCACCTGAGCAATTGCGTCCTTGTCATCTTTGCAAGTGGCGAGAATCGAGTTTTTGGCGCGAAGGACCTCGTCGAAGGAAGCTCCCTCGGCGACACCGAGCAGCTTGAGCGCGCTCTCCAGCGACATCCCGTACGGCGCCGAATCGTCGGCTCTGGCGCTCGCGGCCAGAATCCGCCGCCGAGCACCCGCGGGGGAAATCGATACCCTCCATGGCTGGCTGCGGCAGGACTGTATTGTCTTCAGAGCGGCAGGTACGGGGGCCGAAGGCGGCCGGAGGAAAGAAGAAGAGCCACCGCCGGGGGAGAAGCGGTGGCTGGGCCGGAGGGAGAGATTGGCAGCCATTTGTTGGAAAGTTTCCTTTTTTTGTGGACAAAAACGATAGTATTGAGAGAGAAGAGAGAGCAGTGGAAGGAAAGAATCAGTTTCTGCTAAGTAAAGCGCAAAGGCAAAGCAACGGTGAGGAAGACAAAGATTAGAGAGAGATTTCGGTGGATTGGTGGGAATGATCCGCTGTCTCGCGGAGTAGGATAAGCGAGGAATGACAGGAAATGATGGCCGTTCAATGGGTTGTCCTCTGCTTTATGGATCTCCAGATTGATTATAATTATTGGAACTAATCAACTCTCAACATGATTATATATAAATGTTTATTAATGAAGATTGTATTCATGATTCTTTGAAACTCAAATGTTTATAAAAGATATCATGCTACATTCATGCAAGTTGTTATAGGTGTGGAGCCAGAAATTCAAGCGTGCAGAATTATAAAGATGAACGTCAAGTCATTTGAATAATGGAAACCAAGTAGGAGAAGAGGGTAGAGTCTTGGTAAGTATTCTATCTCAAGCATATCTGTCTACGATCTGACAGTTGAGGGGGCATGGCCTCGCCTCATCTGTGTGTAGTGACGCCGCTAGTAAGTTGAACATTTCTCAATATTGCGGTTCTTGACACGCTCGAATGATCTAGTAGTGACTGTGTGTTATGATGATGAAAAAGACAATGGTAGTGGTGCGCGTGGAAGTGCAAGCGTTCTTAGTTCTTACGCACTCGTATTCTTATAATTATTGTGTTACCAAACATTTGTGACGCCAACTATTAAACTTTCCCGTATGGAAGCACCCAACACAACAATAACATCATGATAAGTTTTGAAGAACCAAAGGTACTAATCACTAGATGTCGATTAGGTACTAATCACTAGATGTCGATTACAGATGCTACGATTAACAACCATAATTAAGTTTTAACAATGACAGGACCTAGAAAGACTTTACCATTTTGCTTGATGACTTCCATCTCCACGAAACCTCCGGTCCTCTTTCCAAAGGGAACAAAGGAAATGTCGCTTATCATATGTTACATCCTTATCCTTATCATCTTGACACTAAACTTGGTTGCTCAAGCAAGGCACATTTGGGAGGCAAAGGTCAGTCTGTTGTTTAACCTTTCCCAACCCCCACCTTGAAGTTGGCATGATGCCAATCTTTCTTTTCTTGTCATTCTTCAAAACTTTGATTAACTTTATGGGGTTCGAAACGAACTCGACGAGTAACTATTGAGATGTTAATATCAACTTTGAGCACGCTATGATTTAGGTTCATTAAATATTTTTCGAGACTAAGTTTACCGAACATTTCTAAGTCCTAACGACAGTCCGAGACAAGGAATCAAGCACTTGTTGTCTCTCCGAACAAGAGTTCATTAGAAATTCTCTTTTGCCTTGAGAATCAATAATGTGTTTCTCAAAACTTGGATTCCCATTTAGGGTTTTGGTATCCTTGCAAGTTACAAGAACATATTTAGCTTGGTTGATGAGATGGGGATCAAGCCCTTGCCCTTCACCAACTGGATGAAATCTGCAGTTTACTCCATTAAAGGCTTGGAGGTAAAATAAGAACTCGTTTGGGTTTCATCTATAGCATGGATGTTACATCGTTTCTCAGTATTTAGTTGCAGAACTTGTCATTCAGATTTTCAGTTTGATTTGCGGGTTGAGTTTCTTGTATTCTAAGATCTTTCAGCAGCTTCCAGCTCCAGTGGGAAACTTGCTCCACACTCTAAGTATGGACTTCAATTGAGTCCTTGTGTCTTGTTTTCTCCTTCATCCCATTGAATTGCCAATCATGCTAACTTTTCGGGTAAAACACGTGAAGGTCAGCATGCCGAATCCAAGCAATGCTTGTTCCGCAACAAATGAGTCAATCAGATTGACGTTCTTCCACAATTGAATGCACTTCATGATGAGTACAAAGACCGTCCACAGAGTGTTTCAATCCGATTTCGTACGAAATTTCCAACCTTCTTCCTTCCTTCCCAAGCAAGTCATAGATTATCCAGAATTCAGTAACCCTCTCAGACAATCCCTTATTGCAGGTGGGTTTTCACTTTTTCACCACTTGTTCTGGACTTGCATGATGATTTTTTCTTTATTTGGGATGATAGTGACATAAAATAGAGTAGTGACTAGTGAGGTAGGAAGTCCTACATTAATCACATGCTGGGGGCCCAGCTGTTGTTGTAAGAGCCTAGGTGGATAGGGCCAAGCCCATATCTCAAAAAATCTTATTTACCGGTTGGGCCCTCCAAGCTGTGAATTAATTGGCCCAAATATAGAAAGCCCCCAATGAGAAGCGAGCACGTACTCGAATGTCCACCACCACTCCTGGCTTATTCTTTGTCGTCTTATCCATCATCAGCCCGACATAAAAACGACGGCGTATTGCTCACCTTCCCCACTCGCCTCGCTTTCTTCCTACTCCGATAAATTACAGTTTCAGTCACTTAATTTGTTTTATTAAGCTTTTCGACGCTTCTCGAAAGTTTATTTCGTTTTAATTTTTTGATTTTTCGGTACGGTCTTCCAATAGATCTCACTTCTCAGTTTTTATTCCTTCACATATCCTCTCTTCTTCCTCTCTTCCTCTGCTCTCCCTGACTCGCGCTCTCGCCCTCTCTCTCTCTTCCTCCGTGTACCAGATCACGAAAAGGTGAGTTCGCTTTTCCAGATCTTTCCTTCCCTCCCGGAGTTCTTTCACCGTCCGATCGCTTTGTTGTTGCTTCCCGCCATTGGAGAGTTCATCGTCGTTTGTCTTTGATTCGGTTCATCAGTCAGTTAAACAGTTTCTCCCCTGATCGTCAATTCCATGTTTCTTCGTTGAATTCCGATCGCGCACTGAGTTAGGAGTGAGCGAGGAAGATTGAGCAGTGCGACAGTTTGTTTTGGGGACTTCGTTTTTTGGCTTTGTTTGTTTCGATGGGGATGAGATTCCGATTTGGGTTGCGCTTTCTATTTCTCGTCTTTGTTTGTCGGTTTGACGTATACCCGGTCTGTGTCGATGGCTTGTTTGAAAGAAACTGCTGACGGTGTGTGTGTGAGTTGAGTGAGCTGAGAGATGTGGAAGATTTGGAGTTTCTTGGTGGGAATGGACTCTTCGATCGTTTTCACGTTCTGGATTGGGTAGAGGTAGTTAGAGTGTCATCGATCATGTAATGGTTCTTTCGTTTAACTTGTTTTTTTTAATTGTATGTGCGTGATGAAGGTTGAAAATGGGCGCTCAGAACAATCTCGACATGGATGAGGGAACGCTGGAGATCGGAATGGGTATTGTCTTGAATTCAGCTCTCATTTTCTTCATTGGGATAGAGAAAAGTTAAATTCTTTATTGTTCATAGTTCCAATGAAGAGACTATTAATGGTTATAATGAGGTCTATCTTGATGATGATCTCTGCTAATGAGAAACTTGGGACTTGGGTTTGTGCTGCTTTTTTCTGGATATTCACTCTGCTGCTTTAACGAATTGCAGAGTACAGGACGGTCTCTGGAGTTGCTGGGCCTCTTGTTATTCTCGAAAAAGTCAAGGTAGATGGAGCTCTTAACTTGCAACTGTTCCAGAAGTTGCCTTGTTATTTTTATTTTTCTGATGCAGAAACAGCCTTAAAGCTTTGTTTAACATTTGTGTTTGTCTCCTCTACTGCTTTAGGGACCCAAATACCAAGAGATTGTGAATATCAGATTGGGGGATGGGACAACCAGACGTGGTCAGGTTTTGGAAGTCGATGGTGAGAAAGCTGTTGTTCAGGTGATCTTATGCTTCTTTGGTACATCTTTTGATTCAGTTATCTGAGATGGAGGTATTAATCAGGTTTCATCTGTCGAAGATAGTACTCAATGAATTTTGTCATATTTTAATTGCCAGGTTTTTGAAGGAACTTCTGGCATTGATAACAAGTTCACAACTGTGCAATTCACTGGAGAGGTATTATGATTTATTTTTGTTGCTTTCTCATTGCAAATTACACTGACATGCATATGAATCAAGTTTGTAGACCTACGATCATTGGTTATACACTCTCGGGCTAAGCTGTATCATGCATATTACTTGCTAGAAAAATAAAAATAGATAGAGAAGCTATATGCCTTTGTAATTTGCAATTTAATCTATTTTTTCATAGATAGAGAAGCTAACTGTAATGATTTGTCAAAATTTTCAATTTAATCTAATTCTCTGCAATTTATTCCGGTGCTTGGGTCTTGTAGATTATTGTTTCAAGACAATTCCTTATTGGTCAAGTAACCAACCTTCATCCTTGCCTTGTTGTTTTAGGTTTTGAAAACTCCTGTCTCGTTGGATATGCTTGGCCGAATCTTCAACGGTTCCGGAAAGCCTATTGACAATGGCCCACCTATCTTGCCCGAGGCGTACCTGGATATTTCTGGTGAGTTATCTTTCTAGATGAGCATTCTTGATTAAGCTTCAGCCTTTCATCCGTGACACTTAATATATTGTGCACAGGAAGTTCTATTAATCCTAGTGAAAGAACTTACCCTGAAGAGATGATTCAGACGGGAATTTCTACCATTGATGTCATGAATTCTATTGCTAGAGGACAAAAGATTCCTCTGTTTTCTGCTGCTGGTTTGCCCCACAATGAAATTGCTGCTCAGATTTGTCGTCAAGCTGGTTTAGTTAAGCGGTTAGAAAAGTCAGACAATCTTCTTGAGGTAAAGTGCAGCTTTCAATTGGCAAATATCAGTAAATATTAGGAGGCTCATTTTTTTCCTGATAAGAGGTTGGATGATGTTTTCTTCCTTGTGTTTGCTGCCTTCAAATTTCAGGGTAGTGGAGAAGACGACAATTTTGCTATTGTATTTGCTGCCATGGGTGTTAACATGGAAACTGCACAGTTTTTTAAACGTGATTTTGAGGAGAATGGGTCCATGGAGAGAGTTACTCTTTTCCTGAACTTGGTAAGTTCTGCTGGTGTTTGGTCTATTAGTCGGTATTGTCTTTTGTACCACAGTACTTTTGTCATAGTGATTTGACCTTCAGAAAATGCCTGAGCTGAAATCTTGTTTACTTGTTCTTTTACAGGCAAATGACCCTACAATTGAGCGTATTATCACACCCCGTATTGCTCTTACAACTGCAGAGTATTTGGCATATGAATGTGGGAAGCATGTCCTTGTCATTCTTACCGATATGAGTTCCTATGCTGATGCCCTTCGTGAGGTAAGATAATAATAACCATCTTTGTGACAGTTTATTGTGAACTTTTCCATAGGAATCAGCAATGATGCCAGATTGCTGAATGGTGTGCAGGTCTCAGCTGCCAGAGAAGAAGTGCCTGGAAGACGTGGATATCCTGGGTATATGTACACTGATTTGGCTACAATCTATGAGCGTGCTGGGCGTATCGAAGGACGCACTGGGTCCATCACACAGATTCCAATTTTAACTATGCCCAATGATGGTAATAATGCACTCTGATTTACACTAGAAAAGTTCTGCAAATGCTCCAAGTTTCCATTTGAAAGATCGTTACATTTGATTTCTCTTATGGACCAGATATCACACATCCAACTCCCGATCTTACTGGGTATATCACCGAGGGGCAAATATACATTGATAGGCAACTCCACAACAGACAGGTAAGATGTTTTTGTATGTCCTAGATCATTCCACAAAGTTGATGATTTTACTTGAAATAGAACACTAGATCCTGTTATTTATCGTATTAACAACGATAGCCCTTTTTTGACTAATGCTTAAAATGCAATTATAATGATCGAAGTCCTGCTTGTCAACATGATTCCCAATGAGGTTTTCTGCTACTGGATAAAGCTTTTTATCTGTTTAAATTGTGCAGATCTATCCTCCAATCAATGTTCTTCCATCTCTGTCTCGTCTGATGAAGGTAAGTCCTTACACTCTTGTCTACCTCCTGGATGAAGAACGATGTTAGCTGGCATATTAAGTATACATATATTCTAAACGGTGTCATTGACTGATGTGGCAGAGTGCCATTGGTGAGGGAATGACTCGTCGAGACCACTCTGACGTCTCCAATCAGGTTTCTATACTTCAAATGTTCCATGGAACATTCCTTGTAGCTCCATTCTTTACTATTTTATCTAACCCTGATTCCATTTCATCAATTTCCAGTTGTATGCAAATTATGCTATTGGAAAGGATGTTCAGGCCATGAAAGCCGTGGTGGGAGAGGAAGCACTTTCATCAGAAGACTTGGTCTGTAGTCACTAACTGCCCCTCCTGTATTTCATTGATCTAATTTCTTTACTCCATTCACTCGCGTACTAATATCATTTATCTCATGTTTAAAACAGCTGTACTTGGAGTTCTTGGACAAGTTCGAGAGGAAGTTTGTTGCCCAAGGAGCTTACGACACCCGCAATATCTTCCAATCGCTCGACTTGGCATGGACGCTGCTCCGCATCTTCCCTCGCGAGCTGCTCCACCGTATACCCGCCAAAACTCTGGACGCATTCTACAGCCGGGACTCCACCAACTGAGCCACCACTCAACTCTTTCCTTCGACTTGGTTTTGGATCGAGCACCACGATTGCCCTGTGGCAACATATTCCGAGAAGCGAGAGTAATAAAAGAAAAAATTTGGTCTGAAGCTTTGTTTTGCCAGTTTATATATTTGTTTTGCTTATATAGCGCTCTTCATAACTACTGTTTTGTAATTTATTTATGGTGCTATTAGTTGGCGATGCCCAGTTTGTGGCTTGTGGTGGGACATGATTTATTTTTTCTCTGTAGCTTTAAAAGAGTCAGGGCACCGGCTGTTAGATAGTGAAAAGCACGAGACACTTCTCTTTTCTCTTGCCTGCCCTTCTTTCTCGTGTAAGCTGAACTGGCAAATGGATTCTTTTTGGACATTTTTTTGTAAGAGCACTGAGTGCCTTTCTCTTCCCTTTCTGTGTTTTTGGTTTCTGTTTTGCTGCATATTTTCGATAGTGATGTTGCCAATTTGGAGGAGCATTGCCATTGTCGATGATTGCTCGACTCGTGGATTATTGACTTCGCTGATCGGTTCTATCAAATTTACCGAGTTTATGTTGAGACAAAGGAATTGTATCAAGTAATGGGTTGAAGTTTCTAGGTCAGATTTCAAAACTCTGGAGTTTAGATACTGTATGGCCAAGATCAGTTATGTACTGAACTGAACGATGAATTTTGGAGGAAAAAAATACCGCAGAAGAATGGAGGTTTAGGTACTGAAGTGTAGGATAACTGGATAAGAGATGTTTTGACCCCGCAGCAACCAATAAACATAATTGATTTGGGTGGTATGCATAACAAGTTGAAGACGCAGAGAGTTAATTCTCCTGCTGTTACTTGTTAGTGAAGCTAGATGGAGCAGAAGGCCGTTGGACGAAAACATAATGAATGTGTTGAAAGTGGAACCCTGCATTCGGCATCAGCTTTACCCTGCTTTTGATGTTCGTACAACTTTGGGCAATACAACAGAACTAAGATCGCCAGGATAAGGAGTCCACAAGCCTAACCCACCCCTACTCTCCTTCATGCTGCTACCCTTCCCCTTAAACTCGCTCAAACTCTTCACCCACTCTACCTTCGACGAATGCTCCCTCGTGTGTGGATGCAGCACAAACAGCGAGTTGTACTCGCAATTAGGAAACATGAAGTGCTTGAATGGTTTGACGCCTAGCTTGTGCACCACGTACCCAAAGCTAAGCTGGTCTCTAGGAGTGAACAGATGGACCTCATTGAACCACAAGCAGCTAAACAGGTTGCTGAGTGCGGTGTGTTCCCTGATGATCACTGCTCCTTCGGGCACATCTGTGTCATAAAAAGGAAAGAGAACTCGTCAAATGTAGGTACCAGTGGTTAGAGGAACGAGCATCAACGGGACATAGGGTCTTGAGAAGTGTAATAAGCATCTCTTACCACTGATGGTGCCTGACTTGGTGCTCCAAGGTTCTATCCCTTCGTATCTGTAGATTTTCATGTGCAGATCAATGAGCGGCCGAGCATATCTTTTCCTCCGTTTGTTTGCATCAGCTTCCTCGTATACATTTCTATGGTGCTTATGTTGAGCAATAGCAAACGTGTTCTCCCCCCTCCATAAGTATCTAAGCATATGAAAAGGTTATTAAATTAATGAAGTAATAAATTGCACAATCCATTTGGAAGAAGTAGTAGCTTCTTCTGACAGTCAAATCATGGACAACAACCCAAAATATGATTCACTTGGAGGATTTACTAAAGCATGGATTCTTAAATAGGAAATAGAGTAGGCGTGGTGAATTACCTTTCCAGTAATAGCAGAGGATCGACAATAAGCTCCATTTTACCATCTATCCAAATGCTGTATTGAGCTTGAGGGAACAATCTGTGGGTTAAAATTTTGGGGACTTTGCCATTCCTTCTGGGTTCATCATACGGCGGGTTCTTCAACGGGATAAGACGCCAGATTCCAACCCATTGACCGCCTTTACTATCCGTCCTAATAGTGGTGTTTTCCTTAATGAACTCGAGAGACACCTCATCCACCACCATAAGAAAACAGAAGAGCTCCTTAGAACGATGGCTTATGTTAGAGGGCTGGTGGGGCACATCATAACCGTCGAAAATTCCAGAAGCAACAACAAATCTACACTTCTTGACATACTCAATGTCATTGGGGTCCATTTCTGCACCACCGTTACGTATGAATCCACAATGAACCTAAAATGAAGAAAGCACAGAAACAAGAATAAACTAAATTCATAACATCTAGAGAGTAGGAAAGCACTAGCTACTTTAACAAACATCAACACCAGCACAAAGCAAACTGCTTCATCTCTATGCTTACTTACTTTCATGGAGGGTTTTATTTTGAAACTCTCCTCTCTTTCTGCCCAGCTTATGTGTCCTCCAAATAAAGGTGATGACGATCCATTATTGAGAGGCTCGTCATCATCAGTAATATACGAAAGACGAGTGATTATACTGTCCGAAGTCTTTCCCTCGGGAATAACTATCTTGTTGGGGTCATCTACAACAGGTATTGGGCAACCTAGACGTTGGGAAGAGCAGCATCAATACATAAACTATGATTAAGCTTAGAAAGATTAGCACATGAAAGTAAGAGCAATTGCTAGTCTTACGATGCTGTTGCTGTACAAAACCCCATGTGTTTAAAAGGCCGTATACCTTGCTTTCTTTGTTACAAATAGCTGCACATCAAAACAGAACACAGTAGCAACCCATTAGGCCTCAGATGGAGAAGAGCTACTAGGTGCTGCAACTCGTTAATGCCCATTCAAGTTGCAGTTTCTCCCCTCCAATATGATTCTCTGGACTATTGAAATAGCTAACGATGGCTAGTGTAGCTGGAAAAGGAAGTAACACAACCAAGTGAAACTCTACCTGGGAACTCTACTTTAGACCTCATGAAGTATCCAGATAATGATGAGTCTTATGTACAACCCTCAAAAACCCACTTCAAAAGTTAAGGCATTCAGCATTCAACCAATATAAATCAGCAGAGAGAGAAAAGATTTCACATCTTGAGCCAAATGGATACAAACTACATACCTGAAAAGAAATCGTAAGAAGATTGGCAAGACCAGACATGAAACAACAGTACAATGAGAATGAGCAGCATCCAAACGATCCCTGCTACGAACACCAGCCGAACGAACCCTCTCTTCCACACCAATTTGATCGGGTAATCAGCGGGCACTTTCCCAGGCGAAAAGAACCCATCTTGGTCATCTGAGTCGCCGCCAAAACACCAAGAAAACACAAAGTTACTAACCTTCTTTTCTCTCCCAGAAAAAAACCGAATTGAAGGAAAAGAACCCTCCCATATGGACAGTGCAAGTGCTGAAGTGAGATTCGTTCATTCTTTTTTTTTTTTTACCTCTGGAAATAGGGATTTGGTTGCTCCTTTCTCCTCTCCGGTTCGAGCGCAAAGCTACTGACCGAGGCACCTCGCTCTCCATTTGTATAACCCACTCGCCGGATCTTCTGATGCCAAGGAGTTAAGCCATCATTAGCTCCAATTTAGGATGCCATTTTCGTGCAGACGGAGTTGTGAATTTGAGTTCCAGATCTTGGCGAAGAGAGTGAAGAAATAAAGCTTTTGATCTGTGAGTGCTAGAGGAAGAAGAAAAAAAAACGTTTTTTTTATAATTTCATAGACGGCAACTGGCGGGTTTAATGAAAGAGGCTCTTAACGACGCCGTCTCGATTTTAACTCTTAATAAAAAAATAAAAAAATCGACTGAAATCGATTAATCGGACGCACTATAATAATTAAGTAATAATTAATAAATCAGGCTGCTTAATATTTCCGAAATCCAACCGGCAAAGGGAAAGTAAGTAATAAAAGGGCAGAGGTCTCAAAATTTCCCGACGATACAGTTCCGACTTCCGAGCACAGAATTACGGCGCTAGGGTTTCTCCGGCGCCTCAGGCCTCAGGGAAAGAACATTCCGTCGACTCTAAATCGAGAGAATTAATCTCTCCATTGATTAATTCTGTACCACACCCAGCCGCCATGGATCCAGAAACCGACCACTACAAGGTTTTGGGGCTGCCGTCAGGAGAAGAAGGAATCAGGCTCACCGAGACGGAAATCTCCAGAGCGTTCAAACAGAAGGCCCTACAATTGCATCCCGACAAGAACCCCGACGATCCGCACGCGAAACAGAGCTTCCAGAAGCTGCAATTCTCGTACGGGATCCTGAGAGACGGCAGGTCTCGCGAGCTGTACGACAATCAAATTCGGGCCAGGACGAATCAGAAGCAGCAGGAAGAGGCCCGGCGCCGGGCTCGAGAGGAGGAGATCGAGCGGGAGTGCGAGCGGATGAGGAGGAGGATGATGGAGAAAGAAGAAGAGGAAGAAGCTCGCCGCCGCCGAGCTGAACAGGTTGAATCGGAGCGGAGAAGAAGTTGGATGGAGGGGAAAGAAGTGGATAAGCAGCAGCAAGACGCCCGCCGCCGCGGAGCTGAACAGGGGAAATCGGAGCGGAGTAGGTGTTGGGTGAATGGGAAAGAAGTGGACGATTACCTCCGGCAACAGCAGCAAGAGGCCCGCCGCCGGGCTCGAGAGGAGGAGCTCGAGCAGGTGTGCGAACGAGTGAGGAGGAGGATGATGGTGGAGGAAGAAGCTTGCCGCCGAGCTGAACAGGGGAAATCAGAGCGGAGAAGCTGGATGGAGGAGAAAGAAGGGCGGCGGCGAGCTGAAGAGGAGGCACAGGGGAGGAGGAGGATGAATGCGGAGGAAGAAGCTCTGCGCCGATCTCGACAGGATCTGGAGTCGTCCGACGGCGGACTTGACGAGCTGCTTGCGCGGCTGGGACGGCTGAATGTGCGTGGCGGCGGAGGAAAGGAGGCGATGTAGATCTCCGGCGATTTTTGGATACTTTTGAAATATTTTTTTCTAGTGCATAAGCAGTCCTTCCAATTCAATTCTCGGTGGACTTCAAACATCAAATTTGTGTTGCGAGGAAATTTGGCACTGAATTTGGATCTTTATTCTTTGGTAAGAAAAAACATTTGGGTTATCTTATTCCTCAACTGATCTTTATTGTGTTTAGTAACTAATTATTATTATTATTTTTTTATGAATGACAACCAGTTTTGATGGGGCCGATTTTCTTATATATTGTTATTTCTTTCTGAGTTATAACATCTTATTCACGTATTATGAAGTTCATTTATGTTATTTGATGATAATTCATGTAAATAGTTGTGAATATTAACTTAGATGGAAACCCAAAGTGTTTCTTTGACATATTTTAAAATTTAAACTGAATTTTAACGATGTGGTGAGTAATAAATAATAACATACGTGAATAAACACAAGATTACATGAATCAACATTACGGTTTGTTTAAATAATGAGCACTGTCGCGTCAATAAACGCCAATGTTTCATAAATAAACACAAAATTGCGTGAATAAACACACAGATTGATTGAGCTTACATCCCAAATTGGGCTGACATCTTCCTTTCTTCTTGCATGAGAAAGTAAACCACACTTCTTCCTCACGATTTCTAATTAGGCGCAAAACCTTTTTTATAGGGAAAATATCGAATTGTCGGCCGTAATAATACGAAGAAGTAAAAAAGCTTTCCGAAATCCAATCGGATTAGGAAAGGTGAGTAATTAGCTTCGAATATAAAAAGGCAGGGGGAAAGCGAGAAATCGAACACCACTTTTCCCCACTGAGTTTTTTCTTTTCCCGGCAACTTCCACAGCGCCGTTTCCACTATCCATCGGTTCCCTAAATCGATCTCTCTCTGCGTATCGCCGTCCAGATCTCAGCAGTAGTCGATCGGAATTAGAAAGAAGAGAGCGCGCGCCATCGATTCTCAAATCGATCGAGAGAATCATCGCTGCCCTAATTTGATTAATCTTGTAGCATCGACCCCGGCATCCCGCCATGGACACAGGAATCGACCACTACAAGGTCTTGGGGCTGCCGTCAGGGGAGGAAGGGTTCAAGCTCTCGCAGAAGGACATCGCCAGAGGATTCAAACTCAGGGCGCTGAAATTGCATCCCGACAAGAGGCCCGACGATCCGAACGCGAAGCAGAAGTTTCAGAAGCTGAGCGATTCGTACGAAGTTCTCAAGGACGAAAGTCTTCGCAGGAGGTTCGACGATCTCGTCCGGATCAAGATTGCGAACCGGCGGGAAGCGGCGCGCCGGCGGCGCGCTCGAAATATGGCGGCGGCCTCTGACGCGAAGAAGAATGGCGGCGCTCCTCCTCCTCCGGCAGGTTCCCAGGAAGGAGTGGGGAAAAAGAGGAAAAAAGCAGCAGGAGGAGAAGAGGGAGCTAGTAATAGTATCAGTAGCTTGTTGGAGGAAGCGTACAAGGTTGTTCTGAGAGATAGTAGCAACTGCCCCTGTTGTGCTGACAGAAGGAGACGAGCTGAAGAACAGAGAGAGTGGGATTTCGTATACTAGTAGATTACAAAAGTAGTGAATTTTTGTTGGTAGTTTTGAAAACCATGTATTTGGGGAGACTAATATCGGTACAGGTTATATTACAAGTACGATATGTAATCCCTATGTAATCAAATTCACTTCTATACATCGATAGTTTGAACATTCGAGTTATTAATTGACGATACCATGCATGAAAAACACTTTGTTGTCATTGGACTCTTGTGTCCTTGATATTTCGCATCTTTATGTTGCCTATTGAGTTCTGTATAAATCGATAGGTGATTTCACCATTTATTCTATTCACTCAATAAGGATAAACGAGGTTGAACTTGTTTCTCGTAAAAAAAAAAAAAACTTATATATAATGTTTGAAATTTTTGTTGGGGAGGGGGGGCATTTACTCGTGTCAAGCTGGCTGGAATTGTGCACGGTTTGAGGATCACTCGAGAACAAGAAATCACAAAGGTCCTTAATTCAAATAGACTCGACTACAACTTTGAGTTTGATCGACAATGGCTTGCCGAGTAATCCACACTTTAGTACCATCAATGAGGTCTGTCGTTTGCTTGCCCTGGACTGGGAAGTCAAGTTGTGGGCGACTATCTAACTACAGTAAGCCATACTCTGCCTATATAGGACTACATGTGTATTAGTGTCGAGTGTTTCTCTTTGCTATTGGTTGTACTATGATCGTATTGAGCGAACTAATCCTATCCGTATTTAGATTTTTTTTTTTATAAGTCACGTGTTTAGTTTCAGAAGAAATGTTTTCCGCGGCCTTCAAACGTTTTGTTTTACAAAAAATGAAAACATGTCATGTAGAGTCAAAACGACATAGCTTTGTTCTTTGGAAGGAGTTCCCGGGAGCCAATAGGAAAAAGGCAACAAGCCAACCGCGTTAAAAGAAATAACTTTAAAATATAAAATAAGGGGTAGGGAAGGTAGCGACGGAAAACAAAACACGAAACAAAGAAAATCCCTTTCCCTCCGCCGGCGCGATTTCGGTACGACTAGAGTCCACATTCCGGCGAATTCCTCGAATTCTTAGCTTCCTAACGTTATCAAGTTCCCAGTTTGTAGTGTCGCCTGACGAAGGGGAAGAGACCTAGGGATTCTTTTCCCCCATCCGAAGAAGTGAGGACCGAAGCCGCCGTTGGTCGAAGCTCCGTTTCCAGCTCTCGAATCTTCTCTGGGTACATTCATCTCGCTCCCTACCTATCGTATTCCGATCTCAGTAGAGAAGAATTATCCTTTTTTCTTAGTCTGATAGAGAGAGCTCCGTCGTCGATTCGTAACGTCCGAGAGAATTTTTGTTTCCGGCTAGGCAGCTGATTGACCTAATTTTTTTTAGCATTCTTCAATTCCTGATTCTGCAGCTCCAGTGATTTGGGGGTAGTACTGTGCTTGTTGAATAAAAAGTCATGAACGTAGAAATCGACCACTACAAGGTTTTGGGGCTGCCTTCCGGAGAGGAAGGGTCAAAGCTCACCGAGAAGGAGATATCCAAGGCATACAAGTTCAAAGCTTTGGAATTGCACCCAGATAAGAGGCCTGACGATCCAAATGCGCAGGAAAACTTCCAGAAACTGAAATCTTCCTATGAGATTCTTAAAGATGAGAAGGCTCGAAAGCTGTTCGATGATCTGCTACGAGTTAAGCGAGAGCAGGAAGCCAGAAGGTCTCAGCAGGATTCGAAGCGTAGAAAGATGGTCTCGGACCTTGAGGATAGAGAACGGGCGGCTTTTGCTCCTGACCCTGCAGCTAAGGCTCGTGCTGAAGAGGAGAGGATTGTCAGGAAGCTGAAGGAGGAGATTGAGAGGATAAAGGCTATGCACTCAAGTAAAGGAGGACAGGCAGCTGCAGCTTCAGAATCGAAGAGGAAGGAGAGAGAAGCATCAGCTAAGGGGGGTGGGGTTGATTTGGACAAGGGGAAAATGCTTAAGGTGTCTTGGGAGAAAGTGGGTGTGGGTTATACTGCAGAAAGGTTGAGAGAGATATTTTCCAGGTTTGGTGAAGTTGAAGACCTTGTCATCAAGGGCTCCAAGAAGAAATGCTCGGCCCTTGTTGTTATGGCTACTCAGGAAGCTGCGGTGAGTGCTGTAATTATTTTATCTTTCTGTCTGTTGATTTGCAGTTTGGATGTTTGAGATCACTTAAATGAATTCTGTTACCTTTGTTTTTGTAGGTTGCTGCCACTAGAATAGTCTTGGGTGAACTTTCCAATCCTCTTCTAGTGTTACCAGTTCAAGCAGCTCAAGCAAACGACTTTCCTCCACCCAAACAGCAAGCACCGGAATTCGATGGAATAACTAATTTGGTTGGAGCTGGTTACAAGGCATACGAGGATTCCGTTTTCGAAAAGCTTCAAAAGGTGGGAACAATGCTTCTGTAGTTATCAAATCTACACATTTTTCACATATTCAACTTGTAATAGTTGGATGAGGGTGTCATAGTTACACTCTGGGGATAAACAATGTTTCTGGCATTTCAGATTTAAGTTTAACTATTGAGTAAACCTTTTTACTAATGCATATTTTGCATCTAAGTATGTTGAAAACAAATTAAAATGGTTATATCTAACTTTCAGTTGGTTTCCACTTTTGAACAGGCTGCAGCAAGAAACCAGAAATGAGATACATAAGGGCTTTAGTATGGATGATGCGTGGCTCTAGTTTCTCATAGCCAAAACACGAAGGTATTTCAGGAATCATACATTTCAGCCTTGGCCTCTGTAGTTGTGATTAGATACCTTACTCTTTTTCTTTGGCTTTTGAAATTGTAACGCTTTCGTAACCACATTATTCTGGTCTGTCTTGAGTCACCTGGTGCTCACTAGTCAATAATCATGCTCTTTTCAAGTGGATGTGGCTGTGCATTGGTGCTTGTTCTGTAAACGATGCCTTCCATGTGACTGTGACTCATGAGATAAAGCGAATTGCTACATTTCTTCTGCTTTTTATCTGACAGTTCCGCCGAGAATTTTTAACTTTCATACCATCTGGGGCTCTATTGACGGATTCTAAAACCCCGTTTGCTATGCAGGGCACTCTTCATTCTCTTCAGGATTACTGTGCCCCAGAAGAAGTGGTTTCTTTTCTGGATCTGATTCCGAAACGTTTTCATCTTCATGGGTACAATTTACCAATTTACTAACACCATTACATAATCCTGACTAGCACATGGTTGTAGTAACTTTGCAACATGAAGTGAGGGGTTAGATTGCTATTCCAAATATCAGGCATCCTTGTTATTAGACCATCTTGCTAGATTGTTAAAAATGTATCCTTGCTAGAAGTTTACGACCACCTCACCATAGTACCTACTACCTAGGATGCTTTGTCTTCCTTTCCATTGGCTTGTGGCTTTCTTGTCGGAGACCAACTGGCTAGCTGTTGCAACAAACCTTCAACTTGACACCACTTTTGGAACTGTTCCCTTTGTATATGAACTCGGCTTCGGTGGTTTGAGTTAAGAGTCTTGTCATGATGTACTAGAATAGCTTAAAGAATCTCTCTACCCCATTTCAGTTGTCATGCTTTGGTAGTGATAGAACATTGCGCCCTGTGGATTTGAAAGAAAGCCTGGTGTTACTCCAACAGGGTTTTGGAATCTTGTGCAGAAAAAAAGTTGGAATGTGAATGTTGTTGTTTGTTACTGCTGCTAGCTAGTATAGTAAGCAAGCTACGCAGAGCACTAAACAGCAGGCTTTGAAGGCAGGCTCACTCCCACTCTCTCTGCCAATAGTACTATAGCATTTGAATGTCGATGGATGGGCAGTGAAAAGAGGTTGAAAAAGTTCATCAATTTTTTATGTGTAAAAAGTGCAGCAGCCAAGCAGGGGAGCACGCACAGGTAAAGGGGAATGCGCACTCATTTGAATATGAATTGCTGTGCAAAGGTGTGGTGTGCAGAAGCAACAAGGGTGGCTTTGTTTATTTGTTGGTAATGACAAACTTAGAATTCTGTTTTTTTACTTCTATGTGGAAAGTTGAAGGGAAGAGCTGTGGCAATCTGGTGTCTCTCCTCTAAACTTTATTACCATTTAGGTCAATTGATGCACTTCATCTGTTGATAATGGCCAACAACTTCTAACGAGATTTGGATGCACTATTCCTCTTCGTTGTGCCTGGTCCTCTGCGAGTCAAGATAGATTGCTTCTCTTGAATCTGGAAGCATCAATCTCGGGCTACAAACACATTTATTTTATAACTTTTCAGGGCGTGATTCACTATGTTCGTTAAGGAAGTTTTGTTCCTAATTCGTAAATAGTTAAAAAAAAATCAACTAATAAATTACCGCTTTGATACAAATAATGGTACATTCCTAACTCATAAGTCATAAGTTGTTAAAAAAATCAACTAATAAGTTGCCGCTTTGATACAAATCATGGTACAAGATAACTCATGATTGTTCGTTATGCAAATTCATCATAACAATTGGGATCATTCATATGATCCTTAAGGATGATGAGTTAAAAACAACATTATTTTCTTTATTATATTTTTTTATTGTTTATGTGAAGGAGGTCTATCTCTTCCAAATGATACTCATGTGGCATCTCAACCATAGCCAACTTTTGAGTTTGTCAAAACATAGTTTTGGGTGTGGAAAATGATTAGCCAAAGATATTCATTCATATCTATAGCCCAACTTCTTAAGAGATGTCTGGCCCGATTTTAAACTCACAAATTCAGCGAAATTTTGTTTTAACTCATGACTAGTAAATATTTTCATCCCTAAAGTTGTATTACACCAAGTTCGAAGTTGAATTTATGTTTATTTTATTGTACCGAAAGGTACATTCATCACACATTGACATTAGGGGTGTGCAATTCGATCCACAAGACCCACATTGAGCAAATCTAATTAGGTAAAACATCATTCATTTTTGGATTGAAATGAATCATGTTATATATATAAAAAGAAATTGCATATTAATTTGAAATCAGATTAAACCTTTTTTTTAACAAAAGATAATCATATTGATTGAAAAGATCACAAGTTACATCATGGACTCAACCCAGGCACGAAAATCATACAACCGACACGAGACCGGAGACAAAGACAGGGCCTTTCTGCCACAGAATGGGCTACCCTATTGCTATTCCGACCTACGAACCGAACCTGGAACCCACTATTCAGATCTATCAGACTCAGAATTTTCGAGATGATGACCCCAACACGACCATCTCGCGCGTCCTTGGCATTAATCTTCTCAATAAGCACCTTAGCATCACCCTCAAACCTAACTTGATGGATGCCAAGTGCCTGACACCACTGAACAACTTCCCAGAGACCAAGTGTTTCCGCCACGAGAGGATCCACAATGTTAGGAAAAAACACCCCATTTGCCAACAACATATGTCCATCCTCGTCCTTCAAGATCATGCCCCCTGCTGGATGTGAGTCAGCATTCACCGCACCATCCAACATACAAACGACACTCCTCAAGTCTCCTTCTTCCAAAACTGGCTGCCGGGCCCCCCGATGCATCTCCATTCTATCCTCTGGTAAGCTCACCCACTCATGGACCTGCTGATGATATTGCCGCAGAAGTTGAGGAAGCAAGAACTGCTTACCTTCAAATCAGATTAAACCCAATCGGACTAATTGACTTTTTTTATCAGACTCTGAACCTCATTTTTGTTTTATAATAATTAATTTGGTCAATTCTTCCTTCGATCCAACTTTGAACCAAACAAGATAGTGTCACTTGTTGATCCAATATTCCACTATTTAACCATCCCCTTTGAGTAACACTTTAAGTTGAAGGCAAGAAAAATGAAAATTACAAAATTGTGGCAGACCCAAACCCTAGCTGTAAAATTGTGAATTTGATTACCCAAATTTTAAAAAGGAGAAATAAGAAATTGCAAAAGCTAAGCCACCACTAATGATTACCATGACCCAGATTTCCTCATAAACCTAGTGGTGCCCATAAGGGTACCTTTGCTTTTTACAAATTTATGCAAAACCCACCCCAAATTATCCCAAGGAAGAAAGTGGTTTCTGCCTCTGCGTTTGTACTTGGTTTCTTTCTTCCCCAAGTCCCCACGCCTCGGACGCCCTTGTCCTCTTCCTTCCTTTTCCTTGCAATTTACATACCAAAACGTTTCGAAGTTTCAAACTTTCCATTGATACATTCTGTATTATTGCTTTGGTATATATACCCACGAGATTATACGCCGAGGGAAGCAGGAAGACGACATTAGCGAGCTGAAAAGACTTTTCTCCCTTTGTGGGCTATCGGCTGCTGCGGCTGCTGTTTTGCTTCTTTCAATCTCTCCCCAGCACCGAGAAACAACCCTCTGTCGGAAAAGTTGGAACGAGTAATTTGGAGGAAAAAATAATGGCGACGACGGCTGCTTCCACCACCTCTTGGCAGCCGCAAGAAGGTGGCGTGAAGGAGATCTGCGCGTTGTTGGAGCTCCAGATTTCACCTTCTTCAACTGCTGATAAGTCCCAGATTTGGCAGCAGCTGGAAACCTACTCCCAGCATCCCGATTTCAACAACTATCTCGCTTTCATTCTCGCCCGTGCCGAGGTATTTGATTCTCTTGCTCCGCGGAAGCTGTCTCTTTCTGTTTCTCAATCGGGCCGAGGGTTTATGGTGCTCCTGTTTTGTATTTTTAGTTTGATAGTGTAATGTCAAGTTATGAATTGTGGGGTGGTTTATTGTGCGAGGATTTGGAAGTGATTGGAATCTGATGTTTTGTCTTGAGAATTTGTTTGTATTGTAGCTGCTAAGGTCGGTTGTGAAGTCAATAGAATTAGGCTATTTAGCTGCAACCAAAATCACTGTAGCATGAAACCGTTGTAATGTGATCGGAATTATTGGTATAGGACTCCAGAGTTTGCTAGTGAATCTGGTGATGCTTTGCTAGATAGTCTTACTATGAGAAATGACGTTGTCCAAGTAACTTGGAATGCTATTGATGGTTTCTATTGATGTGATGCTTCTTCATTGGTTTACAGCCTTGTTTCACTTGACTTGGGATAATTCGGAAATATATCAAGCACCCTAATGTTTTTTTTTATGGTTCAAGCACCCTAATGTTGGCAACTGTATGTTATATTTGTTTTGCCTAAACAGGGTACATCAGTGGAAATTCGACAAGCTGCGGGTCTACTACTGAAGAACAACCTTAGAAAGGCCTACAAGTCCATGACTTCTGAAAGTCAACAGTACATTAGGTCGGGGTTGCTCCCATGCTTAGGAGCACCTGATAAACATATAAGGTCAACCGTTGGGACAATCATTACTGAAATAGTGCAGCTTGGGGGTATATTGGGATGGCCGGAATTACTACAGGCTCTTGTTACTTGCTTGGAGAGTAATGACTTGAATCATATGGAAGGTGCGATGGATGCCTTGTCTAAGGTATGACAGTTAACATGAGTATTAGTTGGTGAATGCGATGGTTTTGAAACAATACCTGCTGTATTATAGAAAAGAGGCAATATACTCTTAGTGTGCACTACATAAATAGCTTACTTCCATTAAGTTCTCTAAGCATTTACATTGTTAAATTTGTCCATCGTGTTTCTCATCAAGTCAAATTTGAGTGGTTTCTTCCAATTTCAGTTTTTGTGCTGAGGCCTGAGAATGCATGTGGTTCTTTTCCCCGGTCCCACCCTCATGGCCACTTGTAGCTTTTGTTATGTTGGGTCTGTTATGCCAATTGAAACCTATTAGTTAAGAGGCAGTAGGAGATATGCTAGTTGGTGCTTGAATTGGTTTAGTAGTACTGGTTTTGCAACATGAAATTGGTGGTGTGTAACAGATTTGTGAAGATGCTCCTCAACTATTAGATGCTGATGTGCCTGGCCTACCTGATCGCCCCATCCAGATCTTCCTTCCTCGATTATACCAGGTGTCCCCACTATTCTATTGTCATGGGCGTGAACATAAAGTTTATCTCTGGTTTACAAGGTTTTTAGCTTTGCAACCCGTCCTAATCATTGCTGGCTCTGCTGTTAATAGTTTTTCCAGTCACCACATACCTCTTTGAGAAAGTTGGCCCTGGGTTCCATAAATCAATACATTATGTTGATGCCAGCTGTAAGTATACCTTGTATTTTTGTATTAGTTTTCCAATCGTCATGGACCTTTGAGCACTTGTGGACTATGAACACTATATCATTGCTTGTGGCGCAGGCTCTATATGCATCCATGAACCAGTATCTCCAGGGCTTGTTTGTTCTTGCTCATGACCCTGCTCCGGAAGTTCGAAAATTGGTGAGCGCTTAGTCACTCTGACTTCTAAACTATTTAAGTTTATGTGCTCTGCCTTCAAGCTTTCTGTTGATAACATTCCTCTTGGACAGGTTTGTGCAGCTTTTGTTCAGCTGATTGAGGTCCGCCCGTCATTCTTAGAGGTGTGTATTCTAAAGAAAGTGAATTCTTCTAGATCAGCTGTTTGCTGATATTGTGATCTCTTTTTGGCCGTTCCATGCAACGTTTGTTAGTTATCTTGTTTACTACTCTTTTGTCTGCCTCACTTTACATTACCCTGAATCATGTTATTTTAACCAATGTATGATGCCCACTTTCTCAACTCTTTGATGACATTATTCTCTGAATTCAGCCACATTTAAAGCAAGTCATGGAGTACATATTGCAAGTCAGCAAGGACAAAGATGAAGAAGTGGCTCTTGAAGCTTGTGAATTTTGGTAATCCTCACTTTTGAGGCAAAATATTTTTGACATTTGCTTACTTTGGGTACATGAAATATGTAAATTTTAGTGTAGCAACTGCAGCTCTAGTTATGCTTTCATATTTAAGTTTGGATACACGGCTTTCTATCTCAAAAATATTATTGCTTATCTAGTTCAAGTTATTGTGTTCTGGGTCTTGGTTTTTATGAAGGTCTGCCAGCTCTTTTTACCTTCTCCTTTCCTTTGCTTGTATCTTAATTTGGCTGTCATTGACAGGTCTGCATATTGTGATACTCAGTTGTCACCTGAGAACCTAAGAGAATTCTTGCCACGTTTGATTCCGGTACCCAGCGATTCTTGACTTGGGGCGTTCAGTTCATTATTTTGTTTGTTGGAGCCATTATGAATTCTGTTTGAGCCTTGGGTTACATGTGTCTT